TGGTGTCTGCCCAATCCACTCCTTGGATGTGTTGTACTTGGAGACAGCTGGGTGATACTCCAACTCGTTTTGAAGCTGGCCACTAGGGACACCAGCCCCAGGACCACCTTGGAAGAAATCCACCGTAGGTCTACTTCAGCCATAGCCCATGCCCCACCTGGAGCCACCTAGCGGGAAACAGAAAGAAATCCACAGATGGCTGCCATCCATGCTGTGCTTGGAAGCGCCTTGAGAGGCCAAGCAGCGAATCAAGGCCAGCTGCTGCTAGTGCCAGCTTAGGGCTGCTCAGCCAGAGGTACAGGACAAGCTCAAGCAACACGCTGCTTATTGGGTTCTGCAAACCTTTGAGAGACCCGAGGTAAGTGCAGTTTGACCAAAGTAGGCGGTCTGCACAAAAAAGCCACTGAAAGCAGCCTGGGTTGCCCAAAAGTTGGGCGGGGCCAGGTCTCAATTTGCCAGGGCATTGCAAACGAACGGCGGAGACTCAGATATAGAGAACACCTGTGTTTGCACGCTAGAAAGGGGGAGGGCTCAACAAAGAAACAATGGCCTCCACCAGCTCCCCTGTCTAAGAGAAAGCCGCCTCTCCAGCCTCTGTCCCAAGCCAGACAACTCAGTTCCCCACCATTTGTCCCTGCTGCCTCTCCAGCTGCTGCCCCAGTGCTGGAGTTTAAAGCCAGTGATTCCACTGGTGGGTAAGTCCGTGCACAGCCCCTTTAAGAGGAGTGCCTGAGAGTGCAGCTGCCCTCCGTCTCAGTCACAATCTCCGCTGGTTTTCACAACCAGAAATTATGGGATGGGGACTTCTCTTACTGGAACCGGAACCCTGGGCTGGGGTGAGGCTGGGGTCTCTCGCTCCTCTTAGGGGCCCCCACAGCCAAAACGGCCCCCCTGATCTTTAATGGTCACACGTGAGTGTGGGACCAGCCCGTTCCACGTCTCTGCCCCTCCTACCAGTCTGGAGATGGCTTCTTCAGCAAGTCCTTAGTTGACAGGCTTCAGTTCAGCTTGATTTTAGGCGGTTCTTGGTAATGGTTGTTTTGTAGATTCGTTTTAATTTTGATGTGGTGTGAGAGAAGGTAAGTGCAGCATTTACCTACTGCGCCATCTTTGTTGTCACCTTCATTTCTGAAGGACATGTTTTCTGGGTAAAGTGTTCTTGGTTGAAAGGTTTTTTTGGTTTGTTTTTGCTTTCCCTTCAGTGCTTTGAATATATCACCCCATTCTCTCCCTGCTTGCAAGGTCTATGCAGGGAAATATACTGAAAGCCTTATGGGGTTTCCTTTGCGTGAGGTAGTTTATTTTTTTTCCTCTTGCTGCTTTAAAATTCTCTGGGTTTGATTTTAGACAATTTTATGTTTTTGGAGAAGATCGTTTTAGATTGAAAATTTGGAGTGACCTATTATTTTTATAAACTTGGATGCCAAAATCTCTCCCAGGTTCTCAGCCATAATTTTAAAAAGTAAGCTTTCTACCCACTTCTCCTCTGTGACCAATGATGTGAACACCATTTCTCTTAATGGTGTCTCCTAAGTCCTGTAGGTGTTCTTCAATCCTTTTCATTCTTTTTTTCTTTTTACTCCTCTGACTGGATAATTTCAATTCATCTATCTTTAAGCTCACTGATTCTTCTGCTTGTTCAGGCTAATGTTGGAGCTCTCTGTATTCTTCAGCTCCAAAATTTGTATCTTTTTTATGCTTTATATTTCTTTGTTGTATGTCTCATTTTGTTCTTGTATTATTTACAGGTACCATTAAATTGTGTTCTCTTGTAGTTCTTGGAGTATCTTTAGAACAATTATTTTGAATTCTGCATCAGGCAGTTCCTAGATCTCCATTTCTTTGGGGCCAGGTACTAAAAGTTTACTTTATTCCCTTGGCAGAGACATGTTTCCCTGATTCTTCATGATTCCTGTACTCTTATGTAGGTGTCTGTGCATTTGAAGGAATCACCTTTTCCAGACTTTATGAACTGATGTTGGTAAGTGAACATTTTCACCTGTGGGTGGGGGCACCCTACATGTTGTGACCCTGAGTCTGGTAGTAAAAGGTGTCAAGTGGGGGACAGGTGGTAGAATGAGTTCAGGGGGAACGAAGGGGGATAATGTCTCTTTGGCTAGTTTGGGGGTTCACAACATCAACTATTTGGTCCTTGATGAGCACTGTGGTCCTCAGAGGCTGCAACGACTGTTGGGGTCCTCAGCAGCACCTCCAGGTCCAAAAGCTAGGGGCCAGGACAGGCAGCAGTGGTGACCAGGTGACCAGAGCCAGTGGTGTGCACACACTCAGCTGTAGGGGCCAGTTATAGGTGCCTTTCCAGTGGCAGGTGTCAGTAGCAGACACATAAGTGCTGGTCGGCGCCAGGGCAGGCAGCAAGGGCTAGGGCCAACTATAGGCACCCTGGCAACTGCAGAGGGCTCTGGCTGTCAGTGCGCGCTACCATGGCTGCTGGGTCTGGGCATAGGCACATGGCAGTGGGGGCTGGTAACGGATCAGCATGGGTGTGTGCAGGTACACAGAAGGAAGGAGTAGCTGCAGGTAAGCACAGTGATACAAGCCAGTTACAGAAGACAGGACCTGATCTGGGCCCACAAGCAGCTGCAGGCCCTGGCTGTTGACATAGTCTGCTGTGGCTACAGTCTCCCGCTGGGTGTGTGCACAGCAGTGGCCAGTGTCAGACTGGTAATGTGCACGTGCACAGCTGAGAGGCTAGCCCCGTGTCCGTGTGGTGCTGGGAGTCAGCCGTGGGAGTCTAGGCTGGCGCCTTGCACTTGCAGTTGGAGGCCTGGGCAGCGGCTGGTGCAGTTCCTGAGATGCAGCAGGAGCCAGTGGGGGAGGGTGGGGGAAGTGGGGAGAAGGGAGCAAGAATGGACTCAGGTGGTTAATGTCAGCGATTGCAAATACCTGTGTGGTGAAAGCTGGTGAAATCTGCAGGGAATCCACGACAGCTGTGCTATCTGTTGTTTTTTTAAGTGGTGAAAGCTGCTGGATTTGTATGTAGAGCAGGTAGGTCACCGGAAGCTGTGATCGCTCCTGCTACGTGCCTGCTTCTGGTAGCCACTGCTCTTCTTCCTTGTTCCTAGCTGTGTATGTCTCAGCTTTGCCAGTGTCTGGGTGGGGTGCAACTTCAGTGGGACCTGTGTAGGATGCCCCAAGAGGCTGTGGAAGCGGGTCGCTCAGCCCACTTCTCCTTTCCCGGTGAGGGGATCTCATTCTAGCTGGCAGTTCTCGGTGCTGAGCAATGTTGTCTTGGGGGATTGGATGATGCAGACAGAATGAAGCTGTCTTCCTTCCCTTTTTTGAATGGTTTTTCTCAGGTTTTTTTTCCCCCATGTTGCTGAAATTTTCTAAGTAGACTCCGGTGCTCTCCTAGAGCTGTTGTTTCATGGATAGCTGTCTAATTGTTGATCTTGTGTGTGGGGGGGATGGTGGGGGATGCAGGCTATGCTCTCCTACACTGCAATGTCTTTGCAGATATATGTTGTCAAGGAAGTTACCTGCCTCATCGTGATGTCCCTTTGTATTTGGCCACTAAGCAGCCTCATCTCTAGCAGCTGGGCCTAAAACAGGTTAATGGTCAAGTCCAGGTCCCACCACTCTGACAGTGAGCAAGTTATTTTCTCTATACACTCATTTATTCATGTGAAAAACTGGGATAATTACAGTAATTATAGTTCCCGAGAGTTTGTTATGTGCCAGGCACTGTTCTATATGCTTTCTGTGCATTAATTCGTTCTCATGAGGTAAGCATTATTTCTATCCCCGTTTTAAACAGGAAGAAAATGAGGTACAAAGAGCTTAAGAAACATGCCCAAGGCTACACAGCTAGTAAGTAATATGTTATTACGTGTTTGTTGAATGGAACTTATTAATGAGAAGCTACTGTTACTGTTTCCTTTACCACCTTTAAACATCTATTAAATCTGATAATACATTATAATTGCTTTTAAAGTCTGCTGAAAAATCCTTTTTTTTTTTTTGCTGCATTTCACACTTTTGGTGTGTATAACTAGGCTAATGAGCATTAATCAGTGATTAACAAGTCTTTTTCCTTTAAGGCTTCCATCATCTCCACTTCCTGTTCCATGCACCCGCTTCTGTTTCTGCTGCTGCCACCCTCACGGTTCTCAGCGGCTAACTTTCTGCTCTGCCTTCCTACTGTACTTCCTCCAAACGTACCTCCACCCACATCTTTCTTCTTAAAACCAAGCTCAAGTCAGATCACTGCCTCCAACCCCCACCCCAAGGTTCTGAACAACTTCACAAATCCTCCTTGGCTATAACTAAAGTTCCAATGCTTTTTAGCCCAGTTCCTCAGCCCCAAACTTACCTTCTTTTTCCCCAGTCTTATTTACCATTCTCCAATTTCCTCTAATGCTCCCTTCAAATTGGCCCCGGCCCTTTCCTAGATATGCGCCGTGTTCAAGCCTTGGTTCCACGGGAAATGCCTCTCTACCCATCACGACCTTCCGCAGCCCCATTCATCCTTAACGCCCTCTGCTCCCCCTCTGCATCCGCTGTCCTCTCCCTTTCCCCAGCTCTTGGCACTTCTTTCTCATGGTTGGAACCCAACGTGACCTTCCATTAGATTACTTGGGTAAATGACTTAATTCTTCTACAGAAAACAAGCTACCCATTCTACAATAATAGTTTTAAGTTAAAACACCAAATTTATTGCATAATATCGAACTATATGCACACACATAGAAAATAAACATTTCATATAACTGTATATCTTTTCTTTAATCTTGTATTATAAAGACTGAAAAACTACCAATTTAGCAAATGGAATAAGTTTTAAAAACAAAAAGAAAAAGCAAAAATCTACAATCCTTCATTGAGATTTGATGCTATATCACGGTTCATAAATACTTCATTTTATATAAATAAGTCTTTTCTCTAGTTACTAGGAATTTAAAATTAGGCTGACATGGATTCTTTGATCATGTAGAATTTTCTTGTCCCATGATGAAGAAGGTTGAGCATGTCCTTATTTTTGAGATATATATATATATATATATTTGCTTTAAACACAATCCCCCCTGAAATTCCATTGTAAACAAACATTTCAAATGCAAAAGTTCCATATTAAAGAATGTCCTTAAGTCTTAGCAATTAGGGAAGAGGAAAAACAAGTCTGAGTAGAAATTAAAAAAATAAAACAAAATAGACTGCATGCATCCACTAAAAGGAGAGGAAGGGAGCATCAAGTCAGGTGGCCAAGATGGGGATGAGGTGACAAAGAGAAAAGTAAAGTAGAGGAGGGAGAAGAGTAGGAAAAGGAGAAAAGAAGGGAGGGAGGAAAGAGAAAGTGGTAGAGGACAGGACGAGAAATTTATTATTCCTACTTTTCTTGGAGAACATTCTCTTTTAAAAAATTAATGCAACTTGCTCCAAAAGCGAGATAAGGGAAGGGGTTGGGACCTATCGCCTCACCTTGTCAAAGGGACGTGGCTGAGCAACAAGACACAATTAGGCTCAGCTGCTCTGCTCATCTTTAAGGAGGTCCAGGAAGAAGCAGGGCCATGGGGAGACTGATAATCCCTCAAGAACTTTTTTTTTTTTTTTAAAGCAAGATGTGTTCATAAAGGCTCCTATAAATTCTCAAGAGTTCAGCCAAAGTAACGGACCCGGATTCAGCTTGCTGGACTTGGGGATTTCTGCCGTAGTCTTTAGTCCTTAGAGTAGGGCTGCAACAAGCCGGGGGCATTTCCAAGGCTGCAGAGAGAGGAGAGGTTCTACATGTGCAGGTAAGAAAGGACAGGTCAGTCAAAATCATTCTTGCAGAGGAATGAGAAGTTCAGAGAAGGACAAGGAAGCATTGTGAGGAAAGACGGGGGCTGAGAGAGACATTTGAGAAATGAGAGTTTAAAAATTCACTGCCATTTTATCCAGCAGAGTGCAACATATTCACAAGTGCAAGGAACACTCGGTAATTTGGTTACAAAACAAAAACACCTCCCATACAAGAGCCAAGTTTTCACCCCGTCCCCAACCCCTGCTTTTCCAAGAAGATTGCTTCCTCTTGACAACCGCGGAAACACCTCAACCAGGTTCAGGATTCAAAAGTCCCAACCCGCTTCTACAATAAAAAAATAGAACTCACTCCCCATGATTTTCTGTATAGGCCTCGGTGTGGACACTGAGGAAGGAAGGGGAATGGGGCAGGCTGGGAAGCCTCAGGCCAAACTAAAGCCCTCATAGTTGTCAAGGGCCTGGGTCAGCCGCGCCCTCAGGGTCTCCTTGCTGCTGTACTTGGGGAGATCGAGAAGGTTGTAGCAAGTGTGGGCCACCGGCAGGTACTCCTCCCCGCTGGCTGTGGACTGGATGACAATCTGCAGGCTCGCCATGCCGTAGATGGGAATCCGGTCGCTGCCTGTCAGAAACACTGGGAGAAGGGGGGAACTGGCGTTAGCAGCTATGCTAATAGAGTTGCTCTCAGTCCTCCCAGGAACAGAGGGGAAGGCGTGACACCCTGTGGCTCCTGTGAGAAGTACAATCACTTTTAGGTGCCAGGATGTATAGCATTAATATTAATATATGCTCATTCTTATACAGTTAAAGAGACTGTCTTTCAAATCCTCTTTTTCAGTGTTGTATGAATAAGAGTTCTATACTATACGCTGGCTAAGTTTAGATGCTGATTATACAGATACAATCCATTGCTCAAAATGCCCTCAAATGGTTGCCCTCATCAATGTTGAGCCTTCACAAAATCAGAAAGGAAGTACTGACATAGGAAAAGTGGAGCGGACGTCAGCGGGGAACCAGGAAGAAGACTAGGTGACCTCCAGGCCTCCTTGTCTCTAAGTGTTCGGTGCTTGTACCACCTTGGCTAGCGAGTTTCCCTGTGGTGGCTGCTCGCTTTCCTTTCCCTGTCTCTCCATGTTTCTCAAACCAGAAGAGCTGACACTGACATTATGTTAGACATTTCACTCTTGTGACATACACTGTGACTTGGCAAAAAAGAGAGATGGAGCCAGCCATCGTTCCCTGTTTTTAACACTAACCTCGTGGTTGCATTGCTGGAAATCACCACATGAAATCATTAGTCAAGAAGCACTTTAACCTGCCATTACCTGAGGCTGCAATATATAAACATTCTTGCCAATATCTGTAGAGTTAATCAACATTTCTGTAAGTCTAATGGTCTCTGAACAGAAAACTGTCTTCTCTTAAGGAAATCCCCCAGGACCAAGAGCAGGCGCCTCCCGATTGTCACAGCTCTACAAGCTGCCGTGGCAAACCTTCACCTGTCACTCGACTCTCATGCCACTGCTTTCCAAGGGCTGATGTAACTGGGCCGAGGAGAAGTGGGGCTCGTTTTAAGCCTTGAGGAAGATCGCTACTTCCTCTATGTGAGCAGTAGAATCTGGGGGTAAAGCTTGCATTAATATTAATAGATACTCATTCTTTTTTTTTTTTTTTTAAAGCTGAGCCATCCTGCCACCTGTTGGCAGCTCAGCGGCAGCTCAGCTCGGGCTGGAAATCGAACCGCTGTTGCTCAGAGCTCGCACTCTTCAGAGAGCTCTTAACCAACTGAGCCACTCAGCTGGCCCTAGATACTCATTCTTATAAAGCAAAAAAGACTACCTTTCAAATCCCATTTTTAAATTGTAAATAGATAAAAATTTTATACTATCTACTGGCCAATTTCTGACCCTAATAATATGCTGACACAAACATTTCAACTATTTTTAAAATACTGAATTTGTTCATGTAAGCTAGACTTCTTTTCCTTTCCAAATGTATTATTCTTCTCAAATGTAATCCAGCTAGTCACAAGGCCCATATATTGTATGATTCCATTTATATGAAATGTCCAAAACAGACAAACTGGTAGAGACAGAAAAAGACTGATAAGGGGGTGGGTAGGAGGAAATGAGAAAGGATTGTTGATGGGAATGGGGCTTCTTCTGGAGGTGATGAATATGTTCTAAAATTGACTGACAGTTTCACAACCCTGTGAATACACTAAAACCCACGGAACTGTACACTTTCAATGGGTGAATTGTATGGTATGCGAATTACATCCCAATAAAGCCATAATAAATCACATCTCCCAAGTTACATTGGCAATAAGCATTTTATAATATTCTCAAAAGGCTAGAGAGATAAGGGAAGTTAATCCAAACAATTAGATTTCATCAACGTACTACTTAAAGGAATCACTTACATATAAAATAACTAGCACTTCTACAGCAGTTGAAAATCAATGAAACGATGCTTTTCTTCCTTTCATGCAATCCATCCAGTTAGGCAACAACTATGAATTAACAACCTATGTTGTGCCTGAGATATCATTACAATAAAAAGTAGAAACACATTTACTTGTTTCCTGTTTACCATTTAAAAGAGTTAGAACCTCACCTGTGGAGTATATCATCCTACACCACATTGAAAACTAAAATGTGGACAAATACCATATTGAGACTATTCATACTTACAGAGAAACTTCTTCTTCTTTTCTAATGGGAACTCATGAAATGTTTCCCAAAATAGTTTCACAGTGGGATGTGTGGCTGAGTAATCCCCCTTGTAGATGGCAGTCTGCCCCAAAAGACAAAAAGGGAAAAATGTATCTTACAGAAGAAGATCATAGTGGACATGCGTAAACCCCTTGCATTTGAGAGTAAGAAGTGACCACCAGGGTGCAGGAGGCCTCCAAATCCTACCCAGCCACAGAACGCTGGCAGGAGACCAGGTGCGGGCACGCCTCCCAGGCCGCTGCTGCTTCCTGCTTCCTCGGAGGAAAAAGCAAGCACCTTTCACGCTTACCTCTTCTAGTTCCTCCCAGTTGTAGTTGCTGCTCCCCACCATCATGGCCCTCAGTTCTGACGGCTGGAAGAGCTCAAGCACTTTGCCACCACACACCTTCAGGAAGCCGCTGGAGAAAGCTGTGTACCATTCATGAACTGAGATTTGGAAGACGTAATTCACATAAGCATCCACAAATTCCTGCCTGCCAGGAAACCAAAGAAACAATGTGTTTAGCCCAAAGTCTTGTAGAGGTTATAGGTCCCCTTCTACACTGAGGTTGAGGGTGATAAAAATGGAATTTCAACAAATTCTCACGCCAGCAGGCATCCTGGGGCATCATGTAGGTTACAACCCAGCCGTAGGGTTCCACCAAGGAGTCTCAGGTAATCTGGGGGCAGGGAAGGCAGGTAGGAAGGGGAGGAGACCAGGGGGGTAGAACCCTATTAATGACTTTATTTTACTTGAGGCGCTCCAGTTTTCCTCTTGTTTATGTTCCCACTTAAAATTTAGTTTAAAATAAATAAAAGACGTTTTCTGCTCAAAAAAAAAGAAGTCTAAGTTAATTGTTCTAGGATACTTCCCTTCTATTCAGAAATGAATAAAGCTAAACCATCTGATATTTGTATCCTCACGTATTTTTAAAAGGTAATGTCATACCTCTTTTCTATAAATCTCTTAACCACCTCTGAAAAGAACTGTCTTATACAATGGCTCCATCTCATTAATAATCAGTCAAATGCAAATTAAGACAACAGTGAACTCCCACTGGACTGGCATAAGTTTAAAAGTCAGAACATTGATACTGGGTAAAGATGTGGAGAAATGGGAACCTCACACACAGCTAGTGGGAAGATAAACTATGAAATGATGACAGGAACCCCATATAGCTATTATGGAAAATAAACAAAGATCAACCAAATAAGAAAAGCAAAGGCCACTGATTGAAAGCTTGCTATAACAAAGTAGTCAGCCACTGTCATTTATGTTTTAGCAGACTCAAAAACAGGCAGAAGAGTGGAAAACATTCAAAGTGGAAAAAAGGGAAGACTTCAAGTATGCCTTGATTGGAGGCAGCTGGCATGGTGAAGCTGTAGGCGGGCTAACTAGAAGCAAGCATCCTATGTGATTGGTTAAGGGCTGCGTATTTTGCTTTCTCTGGTTGATACCTAATTGGAAGAAGCTGTCCGTTAGGAATCAGGCCCTGGCCATTTGGGGCTGTTTGTTACAGAAGTTACTGAGAGGGGCAGCAAGCTGGCTTCCTGGGCTGCTTATTGTAGACAAGGAGTTGGTTTCCTGGGCAGGTTTGTCTCGTATAACTGCCTAAGCCAATCACCATCAACATGATTTTTTATTATAGTCTGTGGGTTAATTTTATGTGTCAGCTTAGCTAGGCTAATCTACCCAGTTGTTTGGTCAAACATGGGTCTCAATGTTGCCGTGAAGGTGTTCTTTCGATGTAATTAACATTTAGATCAGCAGGCTTTGAGTAAAACAGATTAGTCTTTGCCTTGCTGGGGCTCAGCTCCTGGCAGAGGAATGCAGGATTTGGTGAGGCCAAAAAGGAACAACGGAGACATAGATAGGAGGTTCATACCACTATATTATATTCTCCATGACAGCTGGTAGAGACACGAGAAGCAAACATCCATCAATACCCCAACAAGGGGTCTTCCTGCACCACAGTCTTGCTAGCGGCCAGGCAAGACACAGGAAGTAGGATCCGCAGGATCTGCACCATCCACAACACCTGCGTTTGCTAATACAACCGAGGCAGTTAATATGCAAAACAACAGTAGCTAATGGCCAACTGGTTACAGCTGATGGCCATCTAATACCCAAGCCAGCACCCTTCTATGTGAGGCCGAGAGCCTGGAAACTGCCCTCCTGGCCCTTTCCCAACAGTCTTTATAATGTGGATGAGCCTCATACAGTGAGCTGAAGGCCTTAAAAGACTGAGGTCCTCCAAAGACGAAGGAATTTGGTCTCCCAATTGCCTTCTGATTCAGGACTACAACATCAACTACTGCCAGAACTGCTAACCTGACGGTCTGCCCTGCAGATTTATGACTTGCCAGCCCCACAATCACATGAGCAGATTGCTTAAAGTATCTGTAGATCAACTAGTATATGGACAGAGGCAGAAATTGAAGCCAGATGTCTGAGTACAAAGCTGTGCTCCTGATCACCTAACCAAAGTGCCCGCCCTTCCCCCCGACCTTGCTTCTTTCCATTTCCAATACGACGACTGCATGAGAAATTACAATATGCTGACCGACCTGATAACATGATAGCTCATTACACTATTCACAACTGTGTTACTGCAGCCCCAATTATACACTAGAGTCCATAAAACACCCCAAATGAGACAACTCTTAACAACCTGTCAATTTTTAAACACATAAATTTAAAAGATCAGGCACTATATACATTGCCAATGGTTTTTAGAAGTGTGAATCCAAATTATACCAAAGGTCTTCAAAAAAGCTTGTCGATCTGATTCAGAAATTTATATGGAAAGCCAAAGGAACTAGAAGAGCCAAAATAATTTTGAAAAAGAACAAGTTAAAGGATTCACATTACCTTTTTTCATGACTTTAAATGATTATAAAGCTATGGTTATCAAGTGTGGTATTGGTGAAAGGACAGACACATAAATCAATGCAAAAGAACTGAGTCCAGAAATAGACCCGAATATATATGGGCAATTAATTTTTGATAAATTTGCAAAAGCAATTCAGTTGAGAAAGGATAGTATTTTCAATAAGTGGTACTGGATCAACAGGACAGCCATACATAAAAGGTATATATCATATATCTCACATCTATATAAATGTTAACTTAATATGGATCATAGTATAAATGTGAAACTTAAAATTATAAACTTGGAAAAGAAAACATAGGAATAAGTCTTTATGTACTTGCATTTGGCAAAGGTTTCTTAGATATGACACCAAAGTATAATCTATAAAAGAAAAACAGTCAACAAAATGGATTTATCAAAAATTTAAATTTCTGTTGTTTGATGACACGGTTACAAAAATAAAGAAACAAGCCACAAACCGGAAGAAAAGTTTGCAAAACATATCACAAAGAACTTGTATCCAGAATATATGAAAACATTTAAAAATTAATAAGAAATAAAAAAACTCAATTTACAAAAGAGGAAAAGCTCTAAGGAAGATGTATGAATGGCACATAAGCAACTGGAAGATAGTCCTTATCATTAATCATTAATGATACTATACACAAGCACGAGATTAGCGGGAACCCAACAATACCAAATGCTAGTCAAGATGAGGAGCAACTGCAACTCTCACACATTGCTGGTGTGAAAGCAAAATGTTCCAGCCACTTTGCAAACCAGTGTGGAAGTTTCCTAAAAAGTTGAACCTACATTTACAGTTCTAGGTATTTATTTACCCAAGAGAAATAAAAATTTACATTTGGGCCGGCCAAGTGGCGCGATGGTTAAGTGTTGGCTTGGGATGCCAGAGGACCCAGGTTCGGATCCTACATGAGGGCCAGTGACACTGCCCTCCACAGCTAAGATGCTGAACAACAGCTCAACCTGGAGCTGGGCTGCCGTGAGTCACCAGCGATGGCGTAGGCTGCAGCCCCTGTGGCAGTGGGTTGCCATGGGCTACCGTGTGTAGCCAGCAGCCAGCGTGAGCGGCCAGCAGCCAGCGTGAGCGGCCAGCAGCCGCAGTGAGCAGCCGTCCAGAAGCCGGCGACTGATCTGCCTCGCCCGGGAAGAGCGCAATGATGGTGGCCAACTTGGGCCAGTGAAGCAACGTCCTCCACAACTAGACTGAAGAACAAAAGGACAGCAACGTGTCTGTTCCCATCCACCCAATTCCCCAATAAAAAAAAAAAATCTTAAAAAAAAATAAAAATTTTTACATTTGCACAAAAACTTGTGATGAATGCTCTCCACACATTATTCATAATCATGAAAAACTAGAAACAACTCAAACAGGAATATTACTCTTTATAAAAAGGAACAAACTACTAATATATATACAACCCCACAGATGAAATATATGCTATTCTGGGGGAAAAATTAACAGTTATACAGACAGAAAACAGATCAGTAGTCACCAGGGCTGGCAGTAAGAGAAGGACCATGAGGGAATTTGAGGGGATGATGTTACTGCTGTGCATCCTGATTACTATGGTATTTACAGGACTGTGTTTGTCAAAGCACCCTAAAAAAGGTAAATTTTATTATATGTAAGGTATACCTCAATAACACAGACTTTCAAAAAAAAGCAGTGTAGTTTAACACAAAGTGTTAAGATTTTTTAAGATGGGAACACAGAAATCCTAAAAGATAAGCACATTCTGGTTATCTCGAGCAAGTTATGTTAGTCAAGTGGATTTGATTCAAATGTTTTTGTTTTTAAGTCTGTCACAACTTCTATACTATAGGAATCAGAAGGCCTGGTTTCTGCCCCTGATTCTGCCATTCAAGTGATATAAATATAGTAACAGAATTTCACTTTATTTTTCTAAGTTCCCTATCTTTAAAATGACATTCCTAACCTCAAGGTAGCTGCAGCTATCAAGAGATGATACCTGGGGGCCGGCCGAGTGGCGCATTGGTTAAGAACTGGCTTGAGATGCCAGAGGGCCCCGGTTCGGATCCCACATATGAGGGCCAATGACGTTGCCCTCTACAGCTAAGATGCTGAACAACAGCTCAACCTGGAGCTGGGCTCCTGAGAGTTGCCAGCGACAGCATAGGCTGCAGCCTCTGTCGCAGTGGGTTGCCATGGGCTACTGTGTGTAGCCAGCAGCCAGCGTGAGCATCCAGCAGCCAGCATGAGCAGCCAGCAGCCAGCATGAGTGGCCAGCAGCTGCAGTGAGCGGCTGTCCAGAAGCCGGCAACTGATCTGCCTCATCTGGGAAGAGTGCACTGATGGTGCCAACTTGGGCCAGTGAAGCAACGTCCTCCACAACTAGACTGAAGAACAAAAGGACAGCAACTTGTCTGTTCCCCTTCCCCAAATTCCCCAGCGCTGTTCCCATTCCCCAATTCCCCAATAAAAATCTTAAAAAAAAAAAAAGAGATGATACCTGGGGCCAGCCGAGTGGCTCAGTTGATTAAGAGTTAGCTTAAGAGCATGGGCTCTGAGCAACAGGGTTGCCAGTTCGATTCCCACATGGGCCAGTGAGCTGCACCCGGGCTGAGCTGCCACTGAGCTGCCATGGCAGGATGGCTCAGCTGGTGAGAGCACATGCTCCTAACAACAAGGTTGCCAGTTCAACTCCTGCATGGGATGGTGGGCTATGCCCACCTGCAGCTAAGATTGAACATGGCACCTTGAGCTGCGCGGCCACGGGTAGCAACTGGACTTGGAGCTGAGCTAGCTGTGCCCTCAAAAACAAAGATTGAAGGACAACCACTTGGCTGTTCCCCTCCCCCAATTCCTCAATAAAAATCTTTAAAAAAAAAGAGAGATGATACATGGGATATATGGGTGATATATGCAGTATGTATAGTGTCAGCCAAATAAATATAGATATATTATTACATCAAATTCAGTCAGGGATGAGATTCAAAGTTCAGTCTGAACAATAAAACTCAGTCATCACAAATGGTAACAGGGAGGGAAAAGTATATTATCTGGAACAGAATTAAGAAAGTAAAATAAACAATAGGAATCACAAGTACATTAAAAAAAACTAGCATGTTTGCTAATGGGAATATATTGGGTCTTTTGTAAATGGTTCCTTTCCTTGGAGAAAGGTACAAAGATGTCTTTTTCTAAAAGAGTATTATTGCAGGTTATCTTTGCATGTTAATGATTTTGTAAAAAAATTTAAAACACTTATCAAGTGCTTGCTATGTATAAGCACCAAGTGCTTTTACATATTAATATTCACAAGAACCAAAAGACGGCACCAAATCTACCTTGGGAAATAATTTCCTAACATTCATATGCTTGATGGAAAAGCTTCAGCAAGTTCCAATATAGTGAATGAAAAGCACTGAAATCAGTAATGCTGAATTTGAAAATATTCCTGAAGAACCCCTAGCCTGATCATTTGCCTTCCATACCTAAAATGTGTGCCCTCCTCCTTATTCAAGCTATCGTTTTTGTTTAATAAATAAAGTACGGAACTAAAATGTCTATTCACTTTGCTATTACAGAACAAGAGTTTGCTATTTAAGATTTTTTTTTAATGTTCTCAGATACAAATCGCAGGCAAAAACCACAGAGCAGATACTGAATTGTGCCGTGATTTGGGGACATCTGTGTATCCCCAAAAAAACGCAGTACAAAATACATACTTCAATCAGGATAAAATAGGGCCCTTGCCCTGGGCCTGGCTTTTCTTTGGCCCTCCTCCAGCCTTAGTCCTCCCCACAGGCCAAGGATTCTCAGGAACCTTCTAGAACACATTCCAGAATACCTGGTATCTTGAGGTTCCCTATCCAAATGACTCCAAACCTGATTCCAGGGTCTGTACTGCTGCAAGAAGACCTTGCTATATGCCTCTAGGCTGAGAAATGACCAAGGGGGGGGGGCTGTTGCATGGGCAGATGGTCATGCAAGCTGCCCTATCCACACACATGTACCTAAGTCGCAAAGTGGGTGAAATGGAGTCAGCTTTCCTGTGCGTCCACTTTCTGGAAAGGAATTCGGAGGAATCTGGGAGGTGATCAAAGCTGGCTCCATAAGAGTAAGCCAGGGACTGCCCACCGAGGCAGACCACCAAGGCCAAGAAAGCCAGATGTGTTGACAAGTGTACGTAAAGACTTGGGTGGGATAGAAGAGCAAACTGAAAACCGCTGGCCATCCAAGCAGGTCCTGAACAAATGTCTCTGCGGCACCTGCTGCCATTCCCAGCTCAGCTTTACAGCGGGGCAGGTATGTGGGCAGACTGGGGGCAGGGTAGCTAAGAGACGGGTTCTGACGTCGGTTGCGATGCCCGGGAGATGGCAGGGTAGCAACAGGAGGAAGCTGGCGCAGTCCGGGGGCACGACCGTCAGCTGATTTTGGAGAGCCAGTCCAGCGGCCCGCGTTGCAAGGGCGGAGCCGCGGCCGACGTCACTGCCGCGGCCGACGTCACCGCCACTTGCCGCATCCGCAAGACCGCTGTGGTGCAGCTCGGGTGCAGGTCTCTGCGGGAGCCACCTAGACCTCTGCGGCTTCTCGTCTACCATGGCCGACTCAGAAAACCAAGCGCCTGCGGAGCCGAGCCAGGCGGCGGCCGCGGCAGAGGCGGAGGAGGTAATGGCGGAAGGCGGTGCGCAGGGGGGAGACTGTGACAGCGCGGCGGGCGACTCTGACAGCGCCGCTGGGCAGACGGCGGAGGAGCCCCAGACCCCTGCAGAGAATGCACCAAAGCCTAAAAATGACTTTATCGAGAGCCTGCCTAACTCGGTAAAATGCCGGGTCCTGGCCCTCAAAAAGCTGCAGAAGCGATGCGATAAGATAGAAGCCAAATTTGATAAGGAATTTCAGGCTCTGGAAAAAAAGTACAATGACATCTACAAGCCCTTACTAGCCAAGATCCAAGAGCTCACCGGTGAGATGGAGGGGTGTGCATGGACCTTGGAGGGCGAGGAGGAGGACGATGACGACGATGAGTACGAGGATGAGGAGGAGGGGGACGAGGAGGAGGAGGAGGATGAGGAGGCTGCGGCTGCCGCTGCCAAAGACGAGGGTCCCCGCTCTGCAGTGTCTGACGACGCTAAGAAGTAAGCGGGGCAGAGACCGAAGAGGAGAAGGACGGCGAACAAAATCCTACCTTTTTTCTTTTTCTTTTTCTTTTTTTGAATATTGGTGAACTTTAAAAAGGCTCCGGTTTGGGACCAAAATACAATGTGAATCAATTCTGACATTCCTACAATTATATTAAATTGAAGCAATCGGATCCTGGCCAGCCTGTGTCCAGTTTTTCATTTTGAACACAATAAATATATCTCAAGGTGTTGAAGAAAATGAGACAAATTAAACGTACTTTTTTTATGATCTCTTCTGTGAGGACAGGAACTGAGGCTTATATTAAGGGTGTCAAGTAGATGTGAAGTCAAGAATGTCACTTTCAAACCCATTCATCACACTATCGTCACACTACACACGGAACACCCAAGCCAAGACTGAACATGTTCTCCATGCTTAATTCTTCAATTTCTTTAGTCCTGAAATTTTCCAGTACAGAAAAAGAAGAATCCAAGAAAAAAAAAACTCATCTTTAAGACTTTGCTTTTGTAACCCAGACATAAGCTTTACACGTCAGACAGAGTGATGGAATCGAGGAAGCCTATGATGGAGATCAATGACAGTTCTGTTAATGAGGCCTGGAAAACTGCCACTTCAAATTCTAAACAATGTTCTGAATATCTGAATTTAGAGAAAGATGGTTCTGAGAAGGAGGGTGTATAACTTGTACAATATTGTCAACATATGTGTTCATTATTTACAGTCTCATGTTTATGTGTTTTCTTGGTAGTGTCTATTTACAAAGGTATAGAAAAAAACCCCAAACGTTTAAGTATTAAATCCCTTTACCTAGCCTTTTAGAAATATTAATTTACTTGAAGAGGTATAGAATGTAGCAAATTCTGTAAAGCATGTGTATCCAGTGTTATGTAGTTTGATCCTTGTGAAGTCTTTTTGTCATGTAGCTTTTAGAATGTAGCTGTGAAAATTATCAGAACTCTTCACTGAAGCTAATGTTTGGAAAAAAATATATACTTGAAGAACCAATCCAAATGTGCGTTCCCACCCCCAGCTCAGAAGTAGAAAGGGTTTGTTTGCTTGTATTAGCTGTGCCTTCATTATTCTGCTCTGTAAATGTGACATATTAAATATAAAATGGTGCAAAATCAAATTTCACTGCTTGAGGATAGATTGGCATACAGTTGAGGATTTTTAGGAAGGACACATTTAATGTAAAGACTTAGCTTCTTTGTGGGTTTTGAATTGTGTGTGACCCGGTGATCTATAAAGAAACATAAGCATAAAGTTGTTTACCACTGTGGTGTTAATAAAACAGTATTTTCAAAAAACAAAGGACTCAGTACTCTGCCTGGAATCAAATCCGAGCTCTGCCTCCTATTAGCAATGAACCTTGGGCAATCCAGTTAATCTGTGTTAAAGTTCTCATCTATAAAAGGGGATAGTAATACTCCCTGTCCTTACAGGCTATTATGGACAACAGTGAGTTCATACACATAAATCCCATAGAACAGTGTCTGAAACACCCAAGAAATTTCAGCTATTGTTATTATTGTATGAAAGATAGAGACACTGATTGGAAATCAAACACTCATTCTCTCCCAGTTACAAAAGGGGAGAAAAAGGACATTATATTCTTAAGTTTGTGATTCTTATTGTCAGAAAAGAATGTAGTCTTTAAGTCACAAACACAGGAAATTCAATAAACTGTCTTGGTTTTTGTTTCCTCAATATAAAATCAGGTTTTGATTTCCTCCCAGAAAGGATGTAAGACTTTAACGTGACATTCTGAATATACAATAAAGGCTATTTCAGCTTTGCATTTGGGCATTCAGAATAAATTTAAAATAATAAAAAACATTAAAGCCTCCAAAAAAATTTTAAACCTCAGATGCACTTTCTTCTATTTCCCTTAAGTGTAAAATTACACAGAAGCAAAATTACACTGCTTTACCTTAGGGAATGCAAGGCAACTCTGACACGTGGCTAATGGCAATAGTTTAGTAAAACGGTAAGGTAATATTAATCTTCCTTAGGGCCAGGCAAACCAAAAGAGAAAATCAAAATAATATATTACATAAGAAGTCAATGGTTATTTTAATCATGTGATTATCTTATTAAAGCAAAAAAAAGTCTAATAAAATTCAATATTCGTTTCTTATCTCTCGGAATAAGACATTGTCATTTAGTATTTTTCTAGATCCAACAAAAAAGCAAAAATGAATACAACAAATAAGGGGTGTAATTATTGGGGAAAATTTTTTTTCAGGCATGCGATTATATAGAAAACCCAAGAGAATCAACTGAAAATTATTACATTTAATAAGTTTGAGGAACTGTTCAATTACCAGATAAGTATACAAAAACCAATAACTAATATATGGAAAATACTCTCTTTCACAGAATAAGAAATCAAAATATTTATAAAAACCTCTAATAAAAATATGTATAACCTATGTAAAAAGAAAACACAGAATATCACAAAGAAATGTAAAATGGGCCTTTGGATGCTAAGATAAAATACCACAAAAGTGTCAATTCTTTCCAAATTAACTTTTTTTTTTTTTGTAATTTTGTGAAGTTCTATTTTTTCTTATTAGTTTCAGGTATACAAAACAATGTACTAGTTAGACATTTACCCCTCACAAGGTGATAACCCCCCTCCCCCAATCTACTACCCCTCTGACATCGTATATAGCTGTTACAGTTCCATTGACTCTATTCCCTATGCTGTACTCTACATCCTGTGACTATATGTATGTTAAATTATAGTTGACATTTATTATTTTTCAGCTTCAGCTTCATGTGCAGTGAAGTGGCTAGACATCTACACCGTCCATGAAGTGGACTCCCTAAGAAGACAAGTGTCCATCAGGTACCCTACCAAATCTTTACAACATCATTGATTATATTCCCCAAACTGTCTTTCGTATCCTCATGGCAATCTTGTGGTTACCAATTTGTGCTTTCTAATCCTCTCACCTTCTCCCTCATCCCTACTCCCCTCCCATCTAGCAACCTTCAGTTTTTCTCTATATCTCTGAGGCTGTTTCTGATCAGTTTGCTCATTTATTCTACACTCCAAATTAACTTAATTTACAATACTTCAAATCAGAACCCAAACTGCATCCAGAACTTAATATAATTACACTAATGGTAACCTGTAAGAATAGCTGAAAAAACTAACAATATGGAAACAATTCAGATTTTTACCTTAGGATACAGACTCAAAAGTTTTTTTTTAATGAAGAAAATACATTAAGTATTTATCAATTACTGGACAGGGAAAGGCTAAGATTAGAGTGATATAAGACCAAAAGAAATAATCAACAGACATGAGAACACAAAAATTAATAAGTTATAAAGATTTAAATACATAACACTCCATATTTTCTAAAGCAAACAACAAACTGGGAATAAAATCTGCAATAAATATGGATGGCAGAGGGTTAATAGTCAATTATAATAAAGTGTTCACACAAATCTATGAAAATCATTTAGTCCCAATAGAGAATACATAAAGAACATCAGCAGACTAGTTTAAGAAGAGGCAATACTGCTACCCTGTTTGGGGCAGAAAGGCATGTCCTAAAAGTGCAGTACTGAGTGGACCAGGGCTCCAGTAAGGTCTGGAGTACAGGCGTTCCCAGTGGCATGCTCTGGGCTGCAGTCTTTCTTTCACTTATAAGACTTTAGCTAAGGGTTTTCTAACTACCAGTCATAACACTGGGTTGGCCACTTTTCCCAGGATGCAGGCACGTTTATGATGCCCTTCACAAAGTCAAGCAATTTCCACCATTTCCTAACTGGGAAATGGTTTTACCCTCTGTTTCCTGCAGTGCTTATCTCAACATTCCTCAGGCAGCCATAAAACTTGTATGCTAACATCTAGCAGAATGCCCTCCTTTTAAGGCAGGTCAAACACTATCATTCCTCAACTACTTTTAATCCATTAGACACCCAAATAGTAAGCAATGCACAAAATAACTGGCAGAAAGAAAGACAACATGCATTACATATTCAGCTCAGTCTCTAAGAGCGTTCTGCAGAGAGCTGTGGCATGCCCCTCCACACTCACTGCCCAGGCAGGGCACAGCAGCCTCCCAGCCTGAGAGTTTACGCTCAATGCGTACAGAGACACGTTTGCACGTGCACATACATGTACACACTATTTTCTCATTGATGTGAAATTCACAAAACATAATTAACCGTTTTAAATGAACAAGTCAGTGTCATTTAGTACATTCACAATGTTATGCAACCATCACTTCTATCTCACTTTTTTTAAAGAAAAATATTTTAGAAGTAAACATCACTAAAGTGGATCAGTGTTGTGTAGAATATGTAAAGTAACGTACATATGGAAGTAATATAAAATTTTACAAATTAAATCAAATTTCTTAATAAAATTAGGTGTTTGTTAAAGAAAATAGTGTTTGTAAGGATTAGGTGAAACGGGTACTCTCATACATTGATGATAATGCATAAGCTGGTATAATTCATTAGAAAAATCAATTTAGCAAAAATATCTATCACCAGATTCAAAATGATACACACTCATTCAATTTCACCCTTAAGACCTTCACATTAAAAAGCAATTTTAGGGCCCGCCAAGTGGCATGTTGGTTAAGAGTTGGCTTGGGACGCCAGCTCTGAGCAGCAGGGCCCTGTTTCAGATCCCACATGAGAACCACTGACGCTGCACTCTCTATAGATAAGATGGTGAACAACAGCTTGACCTGGAGCTGGGCTGCGGTGAGTCGCCGGCCATGGCATAGGCTGCAGCCCCTGTTGCAGTGGGCTGCCCTGAGCTACTGTGAGTGGCTGGCAGCGGGAGTAAGGAGTGAGCAACTAGCAGCCAGCATGAGCTGCCGTCACCCGCAGTGAGAGACTGCCTCACCCAGAAAGAGCGCAATGATAATACCAACATGGGCCAGTGAAGTGACGTCCTCCACAACTAGACTGAAGAACCAAAGGACAGCAACTTGTCTGTTCCCCTCCCCCAAATGCCCAATTAAAAAAAAAATCTTAAAAAAAAAAGCAATTTTAAAGGCAAGCAAAGCCTTATAAACAAAAGATGTTTGGTATAGTCTTATTAAAAGTGAAAGAGAAGGGAAGATTAAAAAAAAAAAAGGGAAATAAACAAGACAAAAAAAACAAACCAAATATCTAAAAGTGATAGAAAATACACATTCACACAGCAGACTGTGCAGCCTTTATGGGTGGCCACCGGGCTTTGTATTGTCTGGGCCGAGGTTTAAAACTTCAGACATACCATTTTATACACATCGAGTATGTTTTTAACTATGCCAACATTGTTTTTAAATAATTATAATACATAGTCTGCCTAAAAAAAAAAAAACACAACAAACTCTTCAAAGTGATTTTTGTTTGGTGGGGGCAGAGAGCGGGGAAGGAACCCTGCTCTGGCCCCTAAGAAGCAGTGGAGCACCAGTGCTCGCTCAAACTTCCTGGCTTTAAATTCTGGCTCTAGTTTTAAATCCTGGACTTCTGGCTGTGTAACCTTGAATATGTGACTTATGTTTCTCTATGCCTCAGTTTTCTTCATCTGCAAAGTGAGAGGGAGTCTAAGTACATGGGAAGTACTTAGACTGGTGCCTCATACATGTAAGTACTCAAGAAATGTTGCTGGCATTTTAGTTATCCGCTATTCCTAATAACAGTCCAGTACAAATACAATGCAGATCTTGAAGATTATACCTCTCACAAACTATCTCAAGAGATGGACAGAAGTCTGTCTGTAAGCAGTCCAGCTTCAGGAGATCTTAAGGAGTTAGAAGTGTTAGCTGGGTATGAGCTTTATCCTCAGGTTCAGTTATCCTGTGTAGCACTTACCTTATGCGTGGCATGTCTCACTATATGGTCTTTTTACTAGTCTCTCCCCCACCCTCATCCTCTCACCTCTTTTTTTAATATGGGAGACATGGGGGAAAGATGTTGATTACATTTAATTTGATTACATTTAATTAAGGTAAATTTGGGGGAATCTAGAATAACATGTGGGTTTTTCACAATGGTGATAACACCATGTCATGGAGTGTGAGAAATACTTAACCATGAGTGATCATGTATTACAGTATCATCCAGATATGACTACCAGCTGTGGCAAGATCAGGCTATGATGCAGCCACTAGCGCTCACCCACAATGTTCTTTTACTTGGATGCTTATAACTCAGTCAACTCTGCAGCTCTTGCCAGGGACAGAAAGCATTTTTACGACCAAATGGAGTGCAATAAGTGATGGATACAGAATTGGTAACCTTCTGGGTTTTACTCCAGGACGGTGGTGATAGCAAATATCTTACTATCAATGAACACAGCTCCAATGCCAGCAGTATCTGTGTCCACAACTGCCCAAGTTAAAAATTCAGCAGGTATTATTTTTATAGTTCTTTCGTTTACTTTTCTTGGACTGATCTAAGAAACACCCAAAAAGGACCTCTAGTGATGAGATTATGTATGGCATATAACAGATAATAGGAAAGAACAGCTGCAATGATTCATCTTTTACAACCGTACATAAACTTTCTTACCAGGATCTCAATATGCTTTGATGATAAGATTCTGCTTTTTGCATCATAAAAGAAAAAGAAAAAAATACATCACTCATGTCTTTTGCCGGTTGTCTCTAACCATGATAGTGATACTAAGTAATGTGGTAATAACCACATTAGGTTCTTGGAAGCCTGCCAACAGGTAAGTGTGTGACCACAATGAGGTCTGCCTCCTGCCACCGCGCACAGAGGCAGGTACAATAGTGCCTAAAGCAGCATGGGTGGCATCACTGTGTATTCCTATCAGTGCAAGTGACCCAGAAAAGCTAAAACCTAACTTCACCTAACTCAGAAGTTGTTCCATCCTTGAATCTCAAACGCAATGAACTGGCAATAAAAATAGGAATCTGCCCTTACACCCACCCTCACCTCCGTGCCTGACAATATTTAAAATGACAGCACTCTTAAATTGTACAGAGACTTGAAAACTTCTAAAGCTTTTAGATAGCCAGGGTAACAGAATAATGGGGTTTGGGAGTACAAGTGAAAGAAAAACGTGGGTTCTGTTCTTTTACCCTCTTGAATTTATGGATTGTTCTTCTTTTAGAGAACCTGTGTGGTCTGATGAGAACATCTTTACAGAAAATGTTTTGCTGGAGCAGTCCTGATGTCACTTAGGGGCAAATAGCTACAAAGTAAGAGAAAAGGAACCCACATGCCTTTTAAACAAAAGTTTGCTCTCCTCATGGATTCGGAGCACCACTTGTGGTGTTCAGTAATGTCCATGAGGGCGTATATATCAGCATCAGGTATAAATCATGGAGAAGGAAAAAAAGGTGAAAAAAGAAAGTGTGTCACCAACCCATTTCTATCATGCCACTGCTCTGTTTACAAACCAACAATGGCTTCTTATTACCTACTGAACGAAGTCCAAACTTCTCTAATTTTTAAAGGGTCTACAATCTAGTACCCCGCTAAGTGAGTGTGGGTTAGACGTTCAAATGAAGCTTCCTCCAGCAATGTCCCTCATCCACACTCACACTGCACTCACTGCTCACTGTTCCCTGCAGAAATAGCAACCCAGATTCAGCCATCACTTTACAGAGAACCTTTCACTATTTCCATGTCCTCCTCTCTACTTTCTAGTATCCAAATCTTAATAGGCTCCCCAACCCAGCTCTCTCCCATATTTCTCCTCCCAGATGCATCTGTCCAAGTTGACTTCTATAAACTCCTTCAGATTCAACCACTCAACTGTGTCTTCATATTTCATTTATGATTGTATATGAGAGCAGCTTATCACCCTAAGCAAACTGTGATATATATAGTTCAGTATTTCTGCACAGTTTGTCTGAACTATTGAGTCGATTTAATTATTGATTCAAAGAAATGTGGGTGTCTATTGAATAAGGAGACACAGTGAGAGTGAAAGGGAGAGAGAAATAAGGAGACAGAAAGAGAAAAACTCAGACCCAGAAAGGGACAGAGAACAAAAAAAGGCAGAGACAAAAATGTTCTACGAGAAGTAATTTTATAAAGATGTAAAAATGAGTTATAAGTCCCTACGACTGCCTCAGCTGCCGGCTATGTCACACATTGTCTATGCCTCCACTAGATCACTCTTTTCCCCACCCAATATATCAAATAAGAGTATTATGATGACTCACCACAGTATGAAGACATCCTGAAGGTTCCCCCGCTTCAGTTGGCTTGACTAGCCCACTGCTAGCTTCTAACATATGATGCACACATTATCTTGTCTGAAACCTGATAAAAATGCCCAGAAGTCCTTTAAAAGACTAAAGGCTCTAGATGCATCTCCATATGTACATACATACATACATATATATGTTATAAAGCAATCATCAAAACTAGGAGGGAAGAGAAATCATTTGTGCTGACAAATCCACTTTATGATCGGTCATAAATCTCCCATTTCTAAAATCATTATCAGGCGGTATGGAATAATACACCTGGTCTTATTTTTTAAAAATAAATCATATGCTGTTAACAGAAGTACCAATGTTATTTAATGAGAAGTCAGTGCTTTTAGCTCCGAGAGATTCTTATCAAGTAAGAGTTTTGATTGAAACACCTACTTGAGACAAGCCTAGCCTCTCTACTAGGTTCCTAGAGTCAAGGTCATTTCACCATCTGAAGCCATTTTTGTTGGGTACCTGGCAGCTTCTGCACTCTTTCACTTAACTCTAATATTATAGCTCTTACTTCCCCCAAAGCTGAGGCTTCCTAGATAGTCTGAAAGGTTTACATGACAAAAAAAGTTACTGCTTGTTACATCAGATCATTATCGGCTTCCAACTGTCTTTAAAAATGTCACAGGGTGGAAGGCAGGTCTGTCAGCTTTCCTGTCATTCCTGTTTTCAAAAGGGAAGATTTATGGGAGGAAGCTGAGGCAGATCACTAGGACAATGGGAATTTCATAGGATCTCTGCCTGCATCCTTGCAACTATTTACAGTAAGAAGTCAACTAAAGACCAGAGGAAATTGGTTTGAAATTCCCAACGTGCTTATAAACAGCACGCAGTTTCCCTGCATCCATGCCTTTTCCCATAGCTAAAATGAAGCCTTGCTTTCCTCTGCGAAGGCTGCCCTCACAACCGTCCCATGCACAGACTGCCCTTCTCTCACCTTTCCCATGCTCCCCGCTTCTTGAAGACAACAGCTTTAACTCTAGCCCATATGCTAATGACCCCTGAATCTTTATCTCAAGAGTTTTTACTTTCTGTTCCAATCTATATAGCCCCTCTAAGAATGTACATTTTCCCTGTCTTTGTGTTTTTATTTCCCCACTTCTTTCTTTATGCTTCTTGTAAGCGACCTCAAATTCCCTGGTGACTGACGTTGGCATAAGTAACTTAATAAAATATTCATAGAAGACATCTCTCTTGAGATGCAAATTTTCAGCTCTAAACGTAATCACTTGGGCAGCACACAGACATGTCAAAGTCAACATATCCATAATGGAACTCTTTTTCCCGCCACACTGCTCGACAGATTCTGTGTCCTGGGTAGTCAGTTGCACAAATTAGAAACCTCCGTGTTATCATTACATGCCTCTCTAGTGTCATCCGCATGTAATCAGACACAAGCTCCTGGTGTGTAATCCTGGTGATTACATAACCAACAGGTAGCCGACCCTGGACTCCGGCTCCCTTCATTCTGGCCCTCATCACCCTCTACCTGAGCTACCTCAACAGCCCCCTCGCGGGCCCCCCACATGTGGTCTATTTCCATATGGCCACCGGTTATCATTCTAAAGCTAATCAACCATGTCCCAGTGCAAATCCCATGTAAGGCCTGGACAACCTCCATCTTGATGCTACTGCACCCACCCTCCGGCCACACACCAGAGCCCACCCTGTAAGTGAGTATCACCATTCTCTATCATGGGTCAAGCCTGAGTTCTGACTCACATTACTCCCTGTGCCTAAATGTTTCCCCCACTTACATTCTTTGATGTCCGGTGAAAGTGTTGTAATCTCTCACCCTGGATCCATGGCACTTGGCCTGACTCTCCTGTCACACACACTATAATCTACTGCAGTCCTTCACTTACACTGACCCTTCCAGACTAATCGGGAGCTTCTCAAAGATCAAAGCGACTTATTTCCTAGACCCAACAACTTGCCTGGTAGTGTTTGTAAACTGAATTAATGCGTAGATTGCCAGCAACCTCACTCATAATTTAATACGAAGCAAACAAAATTGAATTTTTTTCTCCTCTAAAGAGATAACACAGACATGGCAAATCGTTCTGAAAAATCAGATGTACTTGAAATACTTTTCACGAGGCAGAAAGAATAATTTAATTTAAAAGCTGTATTACAAATTCTTCAGCAGTAAAACAACAGTAACAGTAAGCATCTTTTTAACATTCATTTATTCAACACATACTTTTTGAGCATTTTTGTGCCAGGCACTTGGCTGGATACTGGAAACCCTGTGCTAGATGCACAGAGTTCATTGCTTCTAAAATGTTTTCCTATAAATGATCTCACTTTAGTCTTACAACCATCTCATGAGGTAGGCAGGGCAGTTATTATAACCTCCATTTCACAGATGAGAAACAGTTCACATGATTTGCTCAAGGTCAAAGCCAGTAAGATGGAGACCTAGAATTGAAACAGTTATCTCCTGAATTTAGGTCCATGCCTCCTCTATGAAAAATTCATTAAAATATGCAAATTCTTGCTCTCCCTTAATTCCTCTGCAGAAAGGATTAGAACTGAACTTCAGTCGTGGTCTTAAAGTGCAGAGAAATAAGGTAGCACCATCTGCAGCAGCTGGAGGTCAGGACTCACCTGTTGTCCTTGCACACCGTCACCTTGTCGCCCCCAGGTATCAGCTTCCTCTGCTCAATCACTCCGTAGCTTTCTCGACAAATCTATATTAAAGGGGGAAAAAGAAACGTTCCAATTTTACCGCTTTTCCTTCAGAGCCCAAATGACTGAGAGAAGTTTCAGAAAGAAGTGTCGCTTACTGACCACTATTACCACAGAAAATTCTTGGGAGAAGAAAGAGAATCTCAGTCAGAAAACTCTGGCACCTTAAAAGAGCTCTCTGAAGAGTCGGAGTTGCCAGTAAACGCAATCAAAGAGAAAATCATATGAACTCTAGAAAAGGGATGTATCTGGAGTAAAGAGAATTAATGCTTCAGTCATTTTCTTAAGTGCGTAGATAAATCGTTCATTCATATATTCAACACATTTACTGAACTTAAGACACTATGACTAACATAATTTGGTTCAGGGACGCCCTTGAATTTGTTCTTAGGTTTGGAGAAAAACTAATGTGCGTTCTGACTTACAGGCATGATAAAAGAGACGGCCACAATCATGAGTAAACTGGAAATCCTTACCGTAAAGTTGAGGCAGAAAGTTTCCTCAATATCTTCTCCAGGGTAATCTAAAAGCTCTTGAAGACTCCTATTCATAGAATGATGGAGAAAGGAAAAGAGGCACATCAGACATGGAAATGGTGTTCCTGTCAGTCACATGTCTGGATTGTTTGCAAGAAAAAACTATAAAAGATTCTAGACTGAACATAAATCCAGACTGACAGAAAATCATGTTACCCGTATCTTGAAAAGAAATATGGCAGTAGACCTGTAAGACACTCACTAATTGTTCTCTTTTCCTACTGACAAATATTACTGAAGAAATTGAGATGTATTTATATCTGACACACTTGTGTTCTTTTAACCCTATTATTGTTTGAAAATAGATATATGAGGAGATGGTACCATAATGGTCCTACAGACTGGCTTCATCCATCTGCATTGGCGGAATAATCTTTCCATCATTTAAAAAAAAGCCACAAAATCACCTCATCCACTTAGGAATCTTAATGGTTTACTTGTTAGTGCAAGGGGCTCTGTTTGGTACAGACACTCTATTATTTATCAGACTAAAGCACCCTGAAACATGCACTCTTAAAAAAAGAATACATTTAGTCCAACAACGCCATATCCTGCTCTCAAGAGAAGATATTCTTGTAACTAGACCTCATTCACATTCACATTTCTTCTTTAATGAACTCCAAGTCTGGCAGTTCCATCAAGGGTGCTCAGGGAGAAAATTCTTATTGTGGAATTTAAATTCACTACCAGTTAACCAACCACAATCATTACTTGAAATATATCATTTTCAGCCAGGGTTGGTAAATAACGCAGTTCTGTCAGTCTCTAGCCTTCTCTTTCAGTTACCAAAAAAGTAACCCTGCCTGGGTCCCTTCTGCCACTTTTTTATATTTCTTCTAAATTTTCTCTTCCTTTCTCTGTGACCCAACGCCTCTCATCCTTTGTGCTTTCTCAGCATTGGTGGCAGTGTGACAGTCTCACTTCTACCCTATCTATCTCCATCTTAAAATTGGTACTATTTCTCTACTAAAAGGAATGTTCCTTCCTGATACAGCTGAAAGGATTATACTGTTTACAGAAAGCCAAGGATATGGTGTCTTTTATATACTTGATCTTATGCTACCTAAAATCAATACAGAGAAACTCAGAATAAAGGAGTTTCAAGAGCCAGAAAAAGAATAACAAAAACATGGCTCCACTATTTTGAAAAACTGTCTGGAAGTTCCTCAAAAGGCTAAACACAGGGCTGCGTACAACCTAAGAATTCCACTTCTAGGTATATACCCAAGAGGAAGGAAAACTGACATCTACACAAAAACTTGCACAAGAATATCAACAGTGGCGTTATCCAAAAATAGAAACAAGCCAAATGTCTACCAACTGATGAACAGATACACAAAATGTAGCATATCCATACAATGGAATATTATTTGGCAATAAAAAGGAATGAAACACTACGATGAGCTACAATATGGATGAATGTTGAAAACATGCCGCGCGAAAGGAGCCAGACACAAAGGACCGTATATGTCTGAGTCCATTTATATGAACTATCCAGAACAGGCAAGCCGGTAGAGACAGAGAGTAGATTAGGGGTTGCCGAGGGCTTGTGGGATGAGGGGACTGGGGGCGATGACTAAGGAGTACTGGGCTTCTTTTTCAGGTGATGAAAATGTTCTGAAATTGTGGTGATGGCTGCACAACTCGGTGAATAGACTAAATGTCACTGAATTGTATACTTTAAGTGGGTGAATTGTATGGTATATGAATTAAATCTCACACTGTTTTTTTTAAAAAAGGCTCTGAGGGGTAATAGAAAAAATATATATATTGGTCTCTGCCCCTGGACCTTGGCACAGAGCTCCGAAAACCCTTGTATATTCCTAAGTGTTAAGAGCACTAGGAGCATCCTGCCTGGATGGGGGCTGGTCACCAGAAAGACCAGTCCTATCCCCCATTTTCCAAAGAGGAAAGAGGGGCTAGAAATGGAGGTAATAACTGATCGCGCCTGTGTGAGGAAACCTCCATAAAATCCCAATAGTAGGGAGTTCAGAAAGCTTCTGGGTCGGTGAACACATCCACACACTGGGAGGGTGATGTACCCCAACTCCATGGGGACAGAAGCTCCTGCACTCAGAACCTCTTCATCTGACTTTTCATCTGAATCCTTTATTATATCCTTCAAACACATCCACACACTGGGAGGGTGATGTACCCCAACTCCATGGGGACAGAAGCTCCTGCACTCAGAACCTCTTCATCTGACTTTTCATCTGTATCCTTTATTATATCCTTCAATAGCTGGTGAACATAAGTGTTCCTCTGAGTTCTGTGAGCTGCTCTAGCAAAATAATTAAATCTGAGGAGGGGGTCATGGGACCCCACGGTTTGTAGCCAAATGGCACAAAAGCTGAGGATAAACGAGGGACCTACTACTTGTGATTGGCATCTGAAGAGCGGTGGGTGCTTGTGGGAGTGATCTCTTAACCTGTGGGATCTGACACTACCTCCAGGTAGACAGCAGACAGTGTTAGAATGAGTTAAATTGTAGGACACCCAGATGGTGTCGTGGAGAATTGCTTGGTGTTGTGGAGGAAAAGCCCCCATGTATGTGTTGACCAGAAGTACTGTCGGTGTGACAGCATTGTGAGAGTAAAGAAGACAACAAAGAGGAACACAAAGGGAGGGGAAAAACTATACTTTTTTTTAATACAAGCTCCCTTTTCAATACTTTCTCCCCCCGCATTTCTGGACCATGACCAATCGCAAAGTCCTTATTTTCTGTTCAGAATAAAGAAAATAAATTATTCTGTATTTCTGGGCAGCTACAACTTCCCTTTTCTTCTTTTTCCCTTCTGCCCTTGGAGGGACAGACTCTAAGCAAGCAGCTATGGAGCTATGCCTTAACACAAGGCATATATGAACAACAGTCTAACCATGTGGTTCAAAACATTCAACCTTCTACAGGTGGTATTTTCGACCTTTAATCCCTGAGCCAGAGGCAGCCACACCAGTCTTTCAGCTTTGTACCTTCCTTCAGTGGGTGACAGCTCCTTTAAGTCTTCCAAGCCAGGCTTTGCGTTCAGCAGCTTCTTGTAGAGCGCCAGCGGGAAGTGCAAATCGACCACGGTGGAGTTGTAGATGGCGAGGCCACAGGTTATGCCAATCAGGTGAAACCAGTTGTGCTCTACAAAACACTTTTCACAACGTGTACAAACGTGTTAAAAAGGAATGCAGTGTCTGCGGCCCTCAAAACAATCTGCCATTTACCTTAAAATATTTTAAGCATAAAAGAACAAAGACCTAATGAATATTTAGTTACCTTCTGAAGCACAGGAAACACACGCCTGACAAAAATTTGATTTTCTCCAAAAGACTGTCCCCTAAGTTAAGCATTTACAGCTCATCTAGTGATACAGAGAACAGCTTATATACAGTCATGCACCATTTAATGATGGGGATACATCGTTGGGCAATTTCCTCATGGTGAACACCTCAAAGAATGCACTTACACAAACCTAGATAGTCTAACCTACCGCTCACCCAGGCTATATGATACAGCCTACTGCTCCTAGGTGACAAGCCTGTACAGCATGTCACTGTACAAAACAACATGAGATTCAGTCAAGCACAAGAGAAAACCATGTATTGGGTTGTCGGAAAAGTCATGATGCATTTTTGCAACGAAAAACAGAAAAAATACGTCATGACTTTTCCAACAGCCCAATAATCAAGAGACATGGTGAACAGGAGATGTACGAGGCTGCTGCCAGGGTAACACAGCATACTGTTTTACAGAAAACTTTTTTTTAAGTAGAAAGAGTATACTGTAAAATAACAATAGAAAGCACAGTACATTACATACATAAACCAGAAAGTAATATGGCCATTTATTATCAAGTATTATATACTGTACCTAATTGTGTGGGCTATATTTTTATACAACTGGCAGTACAGTAGATGTATTCACATCAGCATCACCACAAATACATGAGGAATGCTTTGGGTTACAATGTTACAACAGCTACGATGTCACTAGGCCATAGGAATTTTTCAGCTCCATGATAATCTTATAGGGCCACCGTCATATATGCAGTCCACTGTTGACAGGAATGTCCAGCAGTACTTTCCGTAATGATGGAAGCATTCTTTCTGTGCTGTCCCATGTGGTAGCCCTTTTAAAATGTGGCTAGTACAACTGAGAAAATGAATCTTTAATTTTAATTAAATAAAATTTAAATTTCAATGGCCATATGTGGCTAATTTAGGATAGTGCTGATCTAGGGAGAACATTCTGGTACAAATAGAACTAAATTATATTATCATCTGGTTGAAATGAAAATGCCTCTTAAAAGTTAGCTCTCCTACTGAATTTTCAAAAAGTATGTGTGTGTTTACTTGTATTAGTATTCATACCTACACTATCATTGTTATCAAAATAAGACATTTGACTACCACTTTCCACATGTCATACAACCAATTTCTTTATCATACTGTGCTCTTTCCACCCTTCAAGGATGACAAAACTTGGACCTTACCTACTAGATATGGAAATGGGGCTGATGAGTGACAAAATATACTATGAAGTCTTGGCAACAGATGAAAAATAAAGATATTATTTAGACATTTTAAATTATTTTCTTTGTTATGCTCCCCTCTTCAAAATCAGACGTCTGGGAATTGGCCTCACAACAAAACAGGAAGTTTAATTCTATCCATTTGTTTAACTGCGACATCACTAACTTGATATCACTAACTTACCGTATCTGAAAACCACAAGAGATTTGAATCCGGATAGTAGGTAAACATTCCATAGATGGGATTCAAAAGTTCTTTTAACAGTAAAAGAAAGAACTCTTTTGTGACACCACCAGCATCTACTGCTTCTTCACCATCAAAGATTACCTTAAGGTAATAAAAGTATAATTAATACTTCAAAGAAATCTTCGGCATTTTAATATTTTTTTAGCAAATTCTTTCCAAAGTCGGGATGAAGGAAGGAAGATGTAATAGAGACTAGAGTGATGCAATGAAAACTGCAAGACGGATCTGTTTATTACTAACAAGGCACTTACAGACTTACACAAAAATTTTACTAAGTACGCCAATGGATACAAAGAAAGTCAGAAATTCACCATATGTCTACAGAAAGTGTACCTACCATCTCTTTAGGGCAGTGAGGCTAACATAAAAGAATCCATTAGCCAATACATTTCATTTTCAAAGAGTCAAATACACTGAGAGGTCAGTGTTCCGGCACACACAGAAAAGCAATGATTAACCTGTGTAAATGAAGCGGTTCTTGATGAAATCTGAAGCATATGCAAGGGAAGAGGGCAGTCTAAGTAGGTACAGACCGGGGCTCTGGGAGGGACTAGAAACAGACCCATCTGGGGCATGCTGGACCCATACTGGTCATCACTGTAACAACTACAGCAAACCAGCAAATGAGCTTATTGCAAGTTGACTACATGCCAGCACTTAAACTTGACCAGTCTAATCCTCAGAACAGCCTTATACATAGGGATTACTATTATCATCCCCATTTTACAGCTAAGGGCCCAGACACAGAGCTAAAAACAGCATTCAAGAAAGTTTACCCTTGTGGCTGAGTTCAAGGTTGCCTAGAGCAGGATGAGAAAAAGGTGGGGACACCAGGACTTTGAAAATATGGATGCCGACAGAAGACTTAACTCAGACACGCTACAAAGCAAGAACTGTCTCATCAGAATTACTGATTGAAAATGAGGCAAAGAGAGGCTCATCTCTTTGCAATATCAAAAATCTAACCCAGAAGTTCCAGGGAGAACTCCTAGACAAATTGGTGGGACAGATGCTACTTATTGGACATTTTGGAAAGGGAAACATTATCATGGAAACCATCAGTTTCTTCCCAATTATGTTTTGGAGACTGGAGTTTACAACAGTATTGGAAACAGAGATACGGAAAAGATAAGTGACTTAAAACAGCTTCAAATAATTCGCTAAATATGTATTAATACCTACTGTGTACCAAGCATTGTGCTAAGCCCTGGGACTGTAATAAGGAGTAACATGAACATGCATAGTCTATGAGGAAAGACATTTCTTAATTTATAATAATTTCAGGGTACTAAGAGTGCCCGTCATAACAGGCCAATAGCTTCCCAGATGACTACTTCAGTACCTTTCTGTTCTCCTTTTTTACCTTCTTCCTCTTAAATCTTTGATATCCAAAGACTTCCTAGATGCTGGATTGATAGTTTTACTAGCTGAAGCTTTAGTTTTGCTGTTGTTTGCTTGTTTTGGGTAGAGCTGAAGCCCATACAATGAGGACAGCAGACAAAGAATGCCCTATAACCCCTCAAGTAATACACTGGCATTTTTATCTGCTGTTACATTGAGATGTTCTGTTTGATGATTTGACAGGAGGAGGTGATTAAATTCTTATAAAATGAATGAAAGAAATAATGGCTACACTGCACAATTTTAATAGTACCATCTTTGCTGCTTCAACACTGTTAAAAAAAAAAAAAACCTAGGGAGGTATTTAGAGGAATATACTGAAAAGCTCACTTTGAGAGGTTTTTTCAAATCGATATCAGAATGAATGCTCAGCTCTCTCAGGGAATCTCCGACAAGGTTGTTCCTGCGAACGTGAAGGACCAGGAAGGGGCTTCTGGCCAGCAGAGGCTCCAAGGTGAGAAGCATGAAAACATTCTGCAGGTTGGCGCCATTGACTGCCACCTGGAATGAAGGGAACACCAAGAACACAATTACTCAGGGTGCGCCTGCGAGTGGGGACAGCAGCCGGCTGTGCGGCAACCTGGGCTGGGTAGGCACAGGCTGACTGCATCTCCACTTGCTCTATGTTCCTCTTAACTTTTCCAGTTGGATTTTCTAAGTTACTCATGTTTACAAAATACACAAATCTTTCTAATCTGAACCCAAAGAAATTAACAGAAACATTGATGAACCATAGGATCCAAAACCAGTTCCAGGAAAATGACCTAGGCCAGCTAATTAAGACTGAAATAGTATTGTATGGGGTATCAGAGAAGTCATGACATTATTTGTTCTATGTTTTTCATTGCAAAAAATGCATCATGACTTTTCTGACAACCCAATAGTTGAAGAAACATGATGGAGAATGGGTAAAAACCATGACTTTCAAAATGGCAGAAAAAGAAACCTAATAACCACTCGTTAAATGGTTTTTATTCTTTAAAAAAAATGTCCATTTTCTCTGGAAAATCTTTAAATTATCAGTATCATGGATATATCACTGTGAAAGTAGATATATATGAATCGATATACAGAGAGCTAGAGAGAGACAAACAGACAAAGAGAGAGACAGAGAGAGAGACAGATATGAATGAAGTTATATAACTACCAACAGTAGGAATTAGATTTGGATTGCTAATTTGCAAACATCTTTGTAGGCTTGTTAAAACCAATTATATTTTATAATAAAATGTATATTTAAAATAAATCTCTATAACTTAAGTTTTTATTCAGTAAAGAATTACCAAGTTCCACTTAATTATCTCTATCAGGGGTCAGCATGTGACTGGACCAAATCTAGAGTGCTACTGGTTTTTGAGCAGCTCTTAAGTTCACAATGATTTCCAAATTTTTAAATGGTTGGGAAAAAATCCAAAGACTATTTTACCATATGTGAAAATTATACCAGATTCAAATTTCAATGTGCGTCAAGTTTTATTGGAATGCCGCAATGCTCTTTCATTCACATATTGTCTACCACTGCTTTTTGTGCTACAACAGAGTTGAATAGTTGAGATGGACTGTACGGCCCACAAAGACTAAAATATTGACTTATCTGGGTGCTCCTTTATGAAAATGTTTGCCAACCCCTGATCTATGTAAATGTGCATTCACACATGTGTTATATTCAACATAAAACTGCTGAAAAAATTTGTAGTAATTCTAAAAGTTAGAAAGGAGTTCATCCAAATACACTTTTTCCTATTAGTAAAAATTACAAACTGTATGTATAGGTTAAAAGGAACACATAAGAGACAAAACGATTTTTAGAATATGATACCTGCATCTGTAGTTCAGCATCCGTCTGTAACATTTTGGTCTTGGCTTGGGCATCAAAGATGAAAGGGTAGGAACAAAGTGTTACAGCATCCTAAATAAAACATTATTGGCAATATTGTAGTATTCCACAAAGAATACTGCTGGAAAAAATATATAAGTAAATTTAAAAAGGATCATTTACCTGTATTATAGATGGTCTAGCCTTCTGTGTAAAGAAAAATAAAAAGTCTCTTATTTGGATTGCAAAACCTGAACTTTTTACCTGCTACAAATATGTAATACAAATAAAACATAAAACATATCTATTTGGCCATGAAACTAACCCCATTTGAATGGCTGACTGGATTTTTTCATGGAATAGACCAGGTGTTTTGATAGACATAGACTGAGAAAAAAATTAAAAACAATCTTTAAAAACTTTTAAAGGACCCTACAGGCCATCCTTCTAACTCCATAATTCACAGCATTAATAGAATTCTTTTTTATAGAACCAATGTAATTCTAAAACAGGAACTTTAAAACCTTGACTTCAGAAGTGACTTTTGTTGAGTAAAGTGAATAATGCAAATTTCATTTGTTACATCTTCTTCTTACGGAGAAGGAGAGAGAGAGGAGAGAGAGAGGAGAGAGAGAGGGGGGGAGAGAGGGGGAGTGGGGAGAGGGAGAGAGGGGGAGAGGGGGAGAGAGAGAGAGAGGGAGAGAGAGGGAGAGAGAGGAAGAGGGAGAGAGGGAGAGGGAGAGAGAGACTGGGAGAGAGAGAGACTGGGAGAGACTGACTTACTCGTAAGAGAAACCTAGCAGTATTTGGAAAGCTGTCCCTGATTCAGCACTTCGACCAATGCTTTGCCTACAGAAGACACTCTATCAGTATGTGAATTAAATCTGAATAAACTTTTGAGGAGGGGAATAACAGGAAATAAAACAACCACAAGCATATCTAAGAGGTATGTTAGTTTCATTTTTCAGGGGTAAAAAAAAAGAAATATCTTCTGCAAGTTTTTGTTAGGATATATAACAAATATTATTAACAGACAACAATATAGATCATGTTGACCTGTAGTAATATTTCTCAAATAGAAAACCATGGACTTATTCTCAGAGATCTGAGAGTGCTGTATGAATTTTTTTTTAATTTTGTTTTTTATAAATGATATCCAAAACAAAATCAATAAAAACACATTCTGAAGGACCTCCTTATAATGGTGTGTTACCATATAATTTCATTTATTTTAATGATTGCATTGGTGCCACGTTATAATTAATTGTCCAAGAGCAGTAAGAAGAAAAGCAGTCTTCTTTTGTAAGTGATGCCTTTGCACCTAAGAAAAGGGCCAGAGCAGTCCTGGCTCCCTGCATGGATGACGATTTAACAGCAGCTGAAAGGAAGCAAGGCAGCTGAGTCATCCCAGGATGGAGAGGACAGGCCTGGGAACTCAAGAAACGGAGGCCCGACAGCAGGCAATCCAGATCCACAATGCAAGTGGGGTCTGATTTCACTAAAATGATATTACTCATCACATTACATCAGTGAGACTAATCTGCCTTTTATTGATTTTAGAGTTTTGCTTGTATTTAATTTACAAATTTGGTTCGGTTTATAATTGTTTAAATGCTATATGAATAAGAAGTGTATGCCTACCTCTTTTTGTGTTTGTGTATATTTCAATGAAATCATTTAAAAGCAATTGTAATTAAAATCCATGCTGTTTATCCTTTAGAAACAGGTTCCTTTCGGGATGTTGGAACATTTCCCTAGATGAACAAACACTAACCAAAGAGACAATTCCAGTCCAGCGAGCCAAGGTATGAAATCACGCATACATAATCCAGGCTAATCAGACTCACTCTCATGCCTATATATCTAATCACTTCTAATTTAGGAGCTGAAATCACTAAAATAAAAAACACACACCATAAAGCAGCACTCTACAAAGTTATCTTCTAGTCTAAGTACCAGTAAAAGGTATGAGTATCCTGGGGAAGTGGATTTTAAACCGATGCCAATGTTCAGAATTTTCAAATCTTCCCCTCAGAAGAGATTATTTTCAGCATTATTTGCTTATTCTCAAGGGAAAAGAAAGCCCTTTACTGTGTGTGGGTCTACAAAACAAGATGAGGTTTTGAACCCTTCAAACGTAAACTATGGGAGAAGTGATAACAGGGACCGTAAAAGCAGTTGCTGGCATTACAGCCGCCCCAGTATTTCTAGTATTTTTAAATACTGGTATTTTTGTTGGTGAAATATAGTTATTCCAGACATCAATCAACATCTCTGTGTTTCTTAGCTCTCTCAAGTCCCACTCCAGTTCTCTCACTCTCTCTACCACTGGCTCCCTGCATCCCACACGGAAGTCCTCTCAGCCCAGCTTTAATCCTTCCCATCCCCCCTCACCTGACTCTTCTCCACTCACTCCTGAACGGGCCCCATTTTGGAAATAGGCTGATATAATTGAGGGCAGGGTCACCAAGCAGTTACTTGAGTGGGTTGGCTGGAAAGAAATCCAAAACTGCCTCAGTTAGGAAGCAGCAGAGCCTCCGCCGAGGGAGGACCACAGCGCCAGCTCCATGGGAGGTGCAGAAGAGGAGGCTGCCCGGTCCAAAGAACCAGCAAGGCCTATTTATACATAGATAAGTCTGAGTTTTTGTATTTGAAATGTAATCATTTAATTTCACTGATTTTTACTTTGTGAATGCTGAATATTTTAGAAATGGTACTAGTCCTGGCATTTCCATATTACATGGAATAAATACTGAAACAGCTGTTATGATTTTGCTTCACAATGGCTCTCCCTAACCTACAAGGTGCACATGAGCTGCTAAGACATGTGATCCCCTCCTGAGAGGCTGCTTGTCCTGGGCTGTCCATTCCCCCCAGATGATTCTCACAAACCTAAAACCAGCAAAGTACTGGCGGATCACAGGTGTTCCTTCTCGAAATGGGGTTGCACTGTGACCTTAATTCACTTTTTAAAGTAAATGAAATAGAAGCAATGAATAAGTATATGGAACAGAATTGGAGAATTGAGAATATCTTTTTTTTTTTTAATTCCAAGTCAACATTTCCTAAATGTGACTGTGACTGGGAACGGGAGGCATTGTACAAACACCTGTTATGCCAAGAAGGAAACACAGGCGCTTCTGCTGCAGGGCGTGTCTGCCACGTGTTCCTATACCCACGGTGGGCAAATCTGGCTCCCCACCATCACTGAATGCTGAGGCAAAAACAGCTGCCTCACCTCACCCATGCGCAATGCTGGTGCCTGGAGCCAAAGCACTGCTCCATGTGACACATACGCGTATGGCAAGAGGTCAAGTTGACTCTCGTTTTGATTTCTGAAGCATTTACTTGATATCACTGACTTTCTCACTCGTGCTGCCCTCTCCATGGCAGCCTTCAAAGTCACTCATTCTGTGTTTATTTCGTTTTCAAGTGGACAATGGCAATTTATTAATTAAAGTAAATAAGCCACTGCCACCTCTTCTTTAAAACAAGTAAAAAATTAGCCACTTTAGAATGTTCCTTTTATGCTCCATAGCCCTTAGCACACGTGTTCCATTCCTCTGTAATTCCTCTTTCACTGCTGCCTCTGCACTGAACACCCCACAGAGGCGCCCACCATGTCCTATACATCTCCATCCCCGGTGACTAGCAGGCATGCTAAATACATTAGGTACCCAAGAACAGCTTACTGAATAGAGTTATTGAGGGCTTACTATATGTCAAATAAAGTACTCTGCCAAGTGAGGCCTTTCCCTGCTTTCTCCCGTTTAATTCTCACAATACTGTTATAATTCTCATTTTCAAACGAGGACGCTAAGCCTACAGAAATTAAGTAAATTACCTAGGGTCACATAGGTAGTAGGCCAGAGTTGAGACTTAAACCCAGTTCCTTTTGACTAAAGCATGTGTTCTGAACTATATGCTATACTGCCTCAGCTATCACCAAGTTAAAAAATTTAATACAAAAAATCCACTTACTGTATTACATATATAATGGAATATTATTCAGCCATAAAAAAAATAAAAACAAGAAAATCCTGCCATGTCAAACAACATGGTGAACCTGAAGGGCATTAGCTAAGTCAAATAAGCCAAACAGAGAAAGACAAATACTGTATGATATTACTTATATGTGGAATCTAAGAAAATTTAAAAAAAAAAAATTTAAACCCAATCTCACAGAAACAGAAGAATGCTGGTTTCCAGGGGTTGGGTGGTGAGGGGGTGGGGGTGGAGAAGAGGGACGATGTAGGTCAAAGGGTATAAACTTTCAGTTATAAGTTCTGAGGATCTAATGTACAACATGGTGACTACAGCTAACAATACTGTATTGCATATTTTAAAGTTGCTAAGAGAAGGGCTGGCAGAGTGGCTCAGTTGGTTAAGAGCTCGCTCAAGAGTTTGAGCTCTGAGCAATAGCGGTTCGATGCCCGGCCCGAGCTGAGCTGCTGCTGAGCTGCCAACAGGTGGCAGGATGGCTCAGCTAATAATAAAATAAAATAAAGTTGCTAAGATAATAAATCTTAAAAGTTCTCATCCCAGGAAAAAAAACTGTAACTATGTATGATGATGGATGGTAATAGACTCATTATGATGACCATTTTGCAGTATATACAAATATTGAATCATTTTGTTGTACACTTGAAACAAATATGTCAAATGTCAATTATACCTCAACAGAGTGGTTAAAAAACATAAATTTATACATAAAATGGCTTTAGCAATTTAGGTTAAAATTCAAGATATTAAGAAATTTAAACTTCAATTTCTAATAGTATAATACTCTACACAATAAAAAACATTCCATAGAAATCACAAAAGTTCACAGAGTAATTGCACCTAATTTTCTGTCTTTCTATAATAACTACCTTAATTACTGAAGAGGAGATGAGCATCTGGGATTCAAGACCTATATTTGATTATCAAATGTTTGGAGAAAGGAACTATAAAAAAGTTGTAAAAGTTGTTCACTTAAGAACCTGTATTATCCAGAGACTACAGTCATGATAATCTATATTGTTAACACCTGCAACTTCTTTTTCAGTGTCAAAAAGAATTGGGTTTCATTAGAATTATCCTATTCAGCATTAAGTTAGAGAAAGGGTAAATGAGAAGTCAGGAGAATTGGCTTTTATGGCTAATTAAATTGGTTGAAGAATTGTTTAACTTCTCTGAGTCTCTGATTTCCTCACCGGAAAACACAGCCAATTGGCCTAAATAACTCGGGCTTATTTTAGCTCTTAACATTTTATTATTCAATGAATAATTATTTGATACAGATTGATAAAACAGAAAAGTTAATCTTTTAAAATTTCTAAATTAGCAGGTGAAAGCAGAGTCCACTGCTAGCCTCCATGTTAAATTTCCCACACAAACCTATTTAGAGGACTTGAATCCATTTGTATTGAAAAGTATTTTGTTTTTTCCAGGTAACAAAAAATATTGTGTCTAGCACTGATCATCTATTATTTGAAAAAGAAAGTAATCTTGCTGTGTTAAATAAACCTATTTAAATGCCTTGCTTTTGGAGACCACTATTGACCTACAAAAACCCTACAGGGAAAATATTGCCTAAATGTTGATGATAAAACGGTTAACCTGGCATGCGCTCACCTCAATATATCAGCTGTGCATTGCTTCACTAAATGTTATAACCAAATTAACATTCTGTTTTCTGACATAACTCAAACTTACACATACTCCACAGAAGGGGGGTCCTAAAAAGCCTTGCACTTGTCCTAAGCCAGTTCAATCAAACTGAGCAGCTCTTGCCAAATCAAGGGTGGTAGGCAGGAATCTGCATGCAGTTCCTTGGACGGCTGGTCTAACACACAGTGAGAACTAGGTCGGGGATATGTGACATTTTCACACACAGAATCCTAAATCAGAGGTGGCCTACAGAGTTCAGGCAGCTGACATAAGATGACTGAAGTAGGAGTTATTCGAAAATGACAATTAGCAAATATCCTTCCCTCAATGTCAAAATCAAGCTGCAGTGGGGATGGTGGCACACCTAAGTCTCATCTAAAGAGCCACTGTTGAACTCCAGCCACTGGGTGCCATCTGGGAAGACAGGGCATGTTGCCAGATCTGCCAAGTTTCAAGAAAACTAAAAATTCATTGTATGTGCCTTGACTTTTTTTTTTTTGATTGTGGTAAAAGACACATAGCATAAATCTTACCATCTTTTTCATTAAGTATACAGTTCAGTAGTGTTAACTGTAGTTACGTTATTGTGCAACAAATCCCCAGAACTTCTTCATCTTGCAAAACTGAAACTCTATATCCATTGAACAACAACTCCCCATTTCGCCTCCCCCATACCTTGGCACCCACCAATTCTACCTTCTGTTTCTATGAGTATTACTACTTCAGATACTCTGATTTTTATTTAATGTTAACAACTAATTAAAATTTATATTATTCTGGGTGACTACCCATTTATGACTCCTTATGACCATTTGTGATTATTCACAGCACTTCAGAGTTTCAAGAAGGCCAAAGCAAGTGGATAAAACCCAGGTGTGACACTAACAGCAGTCAAAGACAAATTATAGGGCTCTGAGTGCTTGCCTTATCCTTACTTATATTCTGAGAAAAGACTAAAGCAGTAAGATATGCTTTAAAAGAATTCTTACCATGCCAGCTTGATGCAAGAACCACATGAGGTAGTCTTCCTGGATGTCCACGAGGCTGGAAATCTCAGGAATGTAAAATGTATCATATTCCACATGCTTCACTTTAAGATTTACCTGATGAAGAGCAAAACAAGGACAACTAAAACCCAGGCAACTGGAAAATGGCTTTCCATAGAACACTCGGTAGGATGTTTGGCCCTCCCATCTATTCACCCCTCTCCCCACTGTCTCTGCTCTATGCTCACCTTATATAACTTCTCCAAGAGCTTAAGAGCTGCTGTAATGTAATTGTTAAACAGCACAGGAATTAAGAATGTCTTTCTTCCTCTCAGCAGATAAACAACTGCACCTTTATAGAGGTTTACCAGCTTCATGAAATATTTCGGGCATACCTGAGACCACCAGTTATCTTTAGAAAGAAAGAAAAGACATAGTTCAACATATAATTTTGTTCAGATATTTGTCTTCTGCCTACTAGCTAAAAACAGCTCCAGCTAGAAGATGAACATTAGTCTAAAATGCAGTTTCCCAAAATTGACTTGAAAAAGAATCCATTAAAGCATTTCTGGAGAGCAGCAGCTGTACAAGAATCCATGAAGCTTTTTTTTTGTAAAGCTGATCTGATTTTTTTCCTCAAAGACTCATTCAGGAGGCTAATCTACAAGTTCAATTCCAAGGGTATATTTGGACAAGATGCTAAGACACATATTTTGTGCAGGGACATTCATATATTCTAGTCCTTTCAGCCCTCTTTTCAGCCAGCACACCTAAATCCTGTACCAGGGATGCAAACGGCCACACACTCCAGAACAGCACCAATATGACCCACTCCCTCCTTTCAGGAGGCCTGATTTGTTGAAAAACCATTTCTGCTTCTCACCAAACAATGCTTTCTCCTAACCCGACAAGAAAACTATATCATTGACTTCTACTTTGTCAGAAATAATTTCAGTCATACTGAATATTTAAAATATAAAATAATATGATGTCTGAGATTTTAAAAAAATATCCCAGCAAAAATAAAAAGGTCAGTGTAGGGAATAAACAGAAAGGGCAAAATATTTATAATCATGAATTTGTGTGATGGGTGCCTGTAGTGTTCTCGCTACGTTAGAATGCTCTCTTAAGTTTAAATTTCTATAATTAGAAGTTAATAACAAATCAAGTGTGAAACTGAACAGTTCTGATCTCTTTGTGCCATCTTACCTGGAAAAATTAAAATAAAATAAACAAAACAACTTAAAAGTCAGGTACTATATTCCTTTACAGATTGCCAGCTCTCTACCTCACAGTCTACTAAAACACCCCTAAGGGCTTTTGATCTTAAAAAGAATAACCAAGGGCTAACATATCACTAGTGCTTTCATTATTATTTGTTTCTATGTCTGCTGCACAGGTGGAAGCCAGTATAAGCCAGTATTCCATCCTCAGAAACACAGGTCTCTTTATTCATGGGGAGACCACACTCAAGTAACATCCTAGTCCATATGCAATGCAGAAGTTACTGAGCTGCAGTGAACACCTAAAAAAAAATTTACCAGGAAAAAAAAAAAAAAAAGGATAAAGCCAGGTGACAGACTTTCTGCACTTGATTAATAAAAACATCTCAGGCGCTACTCCCATGAGAGACACTCTCCAATTCCCTGAGGAACGGAAGATTCTTATCTCAGCAAAGTGTCCGTAGCCTGCAAAAATCAGTGTGGACTCAACTGTCCTAAAAAAGAAAAACAAAACAAACATTTGGTAAGTCTCCACTAGGTTATTTCCTTCCTCTCCTTTTTTGGAGACCTGTGTGTCACCAAAACTGTTCATTTCACTCCCACCCCCTACATAAGGTATAGGAGTAAAAGCCAACTGATGATGGACATTAATTTTTAAGGCACTATTGACTAGCAAGTGTAGAAGAAAAAAATAGTTTAAAGTTGGATAATCTAACTTCATGAATATTTAAAAGTCAAGAATAGTCTGGCGTGAATCATTTCACATAGCCGAAATAATGGTTCGATTTGTTCAAACTGCAAATATGGCCAGTTAGAAATTAATAGCAAAGAAAGAAGGGTTTACATGTTAAGGATATTAAATGGCAACAAATAGATTCTTGGATCTCAATCCACTGAGAGCCAGTGGTCACACCAATAAAATAAAAAGCACAAAACCACTGGTATTAAGTTTAGCAAATTCACCTAATACTTTGCTAGGGTTTGTATCCAGCCGCAGAATGGCCATAGCCAGGGGGATAGTCAACGTTATGTAATACTTGGAATCCTGGAGCAAGGGAAACTCAGGTAGTATTAAATAGATTCTCATAGCTTCAACATCTGGTGGTGAACTTGACAACTGAGGAATCAGGCAACTTTCAAAGCTGTTTAAGATCTGTATAAGAGAAAAGAGTATTGAGCAATTCAAACGTACATGAGATCTAGTTACCTTATCTCTAATAGACTCTCAACTCTCATTCATTCAGTATGCACTAAGGACCTCCTATGAGCCAGGCACTGGTCTAGGTGCTCAGGGTACATCAGAGAAAAAAAAAGCCAAAGATCCCTGCCCGTGCAGACCTTACACTCTGGAGGGGCATTTCCTAAGAAAGGTTTAGGACAAAAAGAAAGCTAAACATAGGTCAAATTCCCAAAGTAAGTATTTTACTGAGTTAAGATTTATACAAGACTTGCATTTCCTTTTTTTTCCTCTTGAAAGTTGAATTATTGCAATGAAAAAAATGCTTTTTTCAACATGCACTTTGTCAACATAAAGAACATACCTGTTCTAGAATCATGGAATGCTGGGAGTTCATTAACTTCTCAAATAACACTCTGGTTGAGTTCAGGTCAATCCCAGGGATTCTGGGGCTTGTTTTAAAATGCTCATCAATTCTAAATAAACAAAAACAAAAAAATGCATAATAAAAGAAAAACAAAGCAAACACTCTGACAGGAATTAAAAACAGGTAAACAAAACAGCCTGTCCACACTGATCAGATTTAAATTTGACCTTGCAGATAATATGCACAAAAATACTATACTTTGGGAGAAGTCTGACAGAATAAACCTTTCTGGCATCCCTTTTTCAAGGTATTCTTAAAATTTTCAAGTCTGTTTTCCTTCGAGTCAAAGTACAAGGATGTTCATTACAATTTGAGGTCATCTTGAAGTTTTTAAGCAGTATTATTTCCCTGATTTACTCTCATGTTTTTGCCTTTATATGTAATTGTGGTATACTGAACTAGATGTGGATGAAATGTTCAGATGCAAAAAACATCCCCAATGTAAACTGCACCGCTCATCAACAAATGGGAGGTAGAGCCTCCTTGTTCAAAGCTTTTCTTAACAAAATATTTTTTAAAATCAGATCTACAACAAATGCAAAGTTAATGTCTCTCGTAGTTAACACAAGGGATACAATTAAATTCACGCAAGGACTAATTTCACTGCTATTGTTTTTAACTTCCTAGCAACTAAACATTTTTCCAACCTTAAAGTCTTAGGCCTTTTAGAAACTTAGAAAGTGTCTCTTTTCAAATTTCTACTCTTAAAGATACTACAGCTATTAATTACAAAAGAACTATTTGCAAACTAGACTTCTGTTTATGAGTAATGGACACATTCAGATAGTCTTAATACCCTCTGACAGCAAAGTTAAAATTTGTTAAAGACAAAAAGTTAAAGACAAAAACATTAGAGTTTCTAATTTTTTTTTAAATATAATAATTATATATATTGGAACCTAAATGGTCAAATCAAGAAGAATGCTTGGGCTTGTTGGGTTATTTTTGATGTTGTTGTTCTAAAAATATATCTGCCCAAAACATAAAAATTAATTCTGGTGCCCCATATGTAATGTAACCTTCCATATGCTTAGATGTAACTTTGCTATGCTGCTAAGAAAACAAACAAAATTCAAAAAGGAAAAAATAAAAAACAAAATATTTTCTCTACATATATTTATGCTGGTCTTCATTTTAATTGGCTTCCTATGATGCATTCTACATAAGCTGGAGGAGCAAGACTCTTCAAATAGCACAACTGTCAGTTCAAAACAAAACCTTCACGCACAACTCTACAGAATCCATGATGCTAAGGAGGGATAACCTAACGAACCTGGCCAAGAGCCATTCCCAGCCTTCAAAAAGCTGTCCTTCTAGAAAAAGCTTTCTCAGCCGTGCTCCCACTGACTTTTGAGGCCAGATAATTCTTTGTTGGGTGGGCGGGATTATGAGATGCTTGGCAGCATCCTGGCCTTTGCCTACTCAATGCTAGGAGTACAACCTACCTCACTGTAACAACCAAAAATGTCACTAGACATTGCCAAATGTCCCCTGGAAAGCAAAACCAGCCTGGTTGGGAGACTGTTCTGAAAGACCAACATCGGCACAGTCCAGAACCCTTTACCCTGGAGGAAAAGGCTAAGCATTGCCTCTGAAATGACTTGGATGAGGTCGTTCCAGCTGCCCTAATGAGACGAGTAAATGACTTAGCATTGTAACTGTAACTGAAGAGAGTTTCTGAAGCGACCTTTTTCAACCCACTGAGACATACTTTTGCGAGGATGGAGGAGTGGGATTCACACACAGAACTGAAGTATAAATTGTCTTGAGATTTAATTAGCCTGGTCACTGGCAGAAAAGGACTGAGAGGTGGCGAGGACTTAGGGTCACCAAAGACCAAAACCCATGATAAGACCCCTCTGCTGCATGAGGTTCCGGAGGGAGATATCTGCAGAAGGGCTAAAGCCAAGCCAAAAAAAACCCCACTCTATTTACCACCTGGGAGTTCAGCCCAAATGTAATTTCTTGGTGAGCTGGGCTGGACCTGAGTCCAAGAAGCCCTGAAGTCTCCTTGGACCTAACCCCTAAGCTCACTTTATTTTTTTATTTTTTATTTATTGGGGAACAGTGTGCTTTTCCAGGACCCATCAGCTCCAAGTCAAGTAGTTGTTGAAACCTGGTGTGGACGGCGTGGGGATCGAACCGGCAACCTTGGTATTATGAGCACTGCGCTCTAACCAACTGAGCTAACCGGCTGCCCTGACTCCAAGTCGAGTAGTTGTTTCCTTCTAGTTGTGGAGGGTGCATCTCAGTGGCTCCAGTGGGGATTGAACTGGTAACCTTGGTGTTATGAGCACTGCGCTCTAACCAACTGAGCTAGCCGGCTGCCCCTAAGCTCACTTTTTTTCAGAAAAGAAAAACCTACGGGAAAGCAAACCAAAGAAACCAAGGAGATTATTTAAAGAAGGAAAAATTCAATAATAAACATTGTACACATGATGGGGGTAATAACATTTTAGAATCCCCTGAAAAACCTTACTTTTGATTACACCAACTCTTCCTGAGATACAGTCTCTTTTTGGTAATTTGGTTCCCTGCCATCCAGGCATGAATCAGCACTGCCCTTCCTGATGTTTTATCATTCATCATTATTAGGCATTCCAATTCTACACAAATCAACTTATCCACTGAAATAAGGCCAAGCAAAATCAAAGAGAATGGAAGTCTTTCACAGCCTTTGCTAAGTAAGTATCTGCATCACATGTGGGTATTTTTTTAAGACTCTAAGTCACTTACTTTTTTTCAAGAAAACTTCCATTCCAACAGGCTGCAGAAGATAATATCTGAACAACACCACTGTTCAGAGAGAAAAAGGGAGAGAAGACTTTAACAATTACAAATAAATGGTTATTTAAGCATCAGCAAAAGATTAGTCATCTATTCTAGGGATTCATTAATAGCAGCTCTCTCTTACCCAGGTGAAGCCTTAGAAAATATACATTTTGCTTTAAAAAAATTATGTTACATCTCAAAATGGACATGAACTTAATTTTTCCATAAGTCATGATCAAATAGAATATCAAAGCTACTAAAAGAAAAATGCTTGCAACTGGTAATGATCTTGAACATTCTTATACCACCAACCATGTAAGATACTCCTCACCTCACCTCCAAACATGAATACAAAAAAGAGAAGCTGTTATCTCCCAAAGAAATTATCTTTGCAAATTAATAACTAAACAACCACTTCCTTCTATTTTGTTGCCTGTCTGAGAAAAAAACTGAAAATAAGTGAAATGAGTGTTTATTCCTATTGCCTAGATTACACAGGTTCTGGGAAAATAGCTAGTATCCGAGGACCCAGAGTGAAACTGCAAGTCAGGAGCTCAGGACTCTCTTATTCAGTATAAGGAACAGGGAAGGAATGAAACAAATACATGGTTAAGAAAGGTGCTGCAATAACTTCTGTTAATCCCAAAATCTGGGTCAGGAAAGATCTTTAGAGATCATTTCTTCCATCCCTTCGTTTTATAAATTAGAAAACTAAGAACTAGCACAGTGTGATAGTCCCAGCAAAGTGAGGCTACAGTCCCCCTACCCTTCCAATAGTGAGTTTAGTCCCCTTTCCCATGCTACCTTCCAGCCTGAACTCCTTGGCAGACACCTAAAGTTAGAGAAATTCTGAGGACAGCCATGAATTGTTCTAGAGAACTCCCAATGATCCCCTGGTGTGCCCCAAAGTTCAGGACCTGGTCATTTGCCCCACTGCAATCTACATCATAAAGCAAATGTATTATACACATTTCTTGGAATGACTACCACTTAGTACACAGTGTGAATCATTCATTCCCAAGAATGAGAGTCTCTGCAAAACAAAAAACACATGCTGTTGAGGAAAGCCAATGAAAATGTTTAAAAATATACAGGAAAAAAAATTCTCCTTTAAGAATAAAATAAACTTGATAAAAGGCCTCAATTCTTTTTACTATGTATTTGTTCTCTACTTGACAGTAAATTACCATTTCAGCTAATCATTTTGAATGTGAAAATGCTAGAAATTATTCAGGTTAGATAAGATAACAGCTGTCTTAGACTTGGGATGCTTTGGGACATGCATATGAAGAAACTCTTAAGAGAAAATATGCATGCTGGGGGAAAAAAGGACTACTGTATATATGAAACTTTACTTTACATAAACTTAATAGTAACCACTGAAAAAATAAAAAAATCCAGAACTGAAACACATAACATAAAAAAAGAGGAAACAGAAAAAAATCCTAGAATACCACCAAACTGAAATAACAGACAGAAACAAGAAGACAAAGAAACAATGGAGACACCAAACTACTAGAAAACAAAAGATAAAATGACCATAGGAAATCCTCATATAACATATATCAATAATCATCGTAAATGAAAATGGACTGAAGTCACCAACAAAAAGGCACAGAGTAGCAGACTGGATCAAAAAACAAAACCCAACCATATGCTGCCTTCAAGAAACACATCTCAGCAGCAAGGACAAATAAAAAAAGAAAGTGAAAAGATGGAAAACTACACCCCAAGCAACTGGCATCCAGAGAAAAGCGAGTGTATCCATACTTAAATCTGACAAAATAGACTTCAAGAAAAAAAAAAAGGCAACAAGAGACAAAGATGGACATTTCACAATGAAAAAAGGGGACAATACACCAAGAAGACATAACACTTATCAATATATATGTTCCCAATCAGAGAGCACCAAAATATATAAAGCAACTACTAACAGAACTAAAGGGAAAAACTGACAAAAGCATAATTATAGTAGAAGGTCTAAATACCCCATTGACAGCTACGGATAGATCATCCAAACAGAAAATCAATATGGAAATATCAGCTTTAAGTGACGCATTAGACCTAATGGACATAATTGACATTTACAGAGTCTTTCATCTCAGAACACCAGACTACACATTCTTTCTAGTGCACAAGAAACATTCTCAAGGAAAGATCATTTGCTGGGACACAAAACTAGCCTCAACTAACTTAAGAAGATTGAAATCATACCAACATTTTCTCTAACCACAACGCTTTGAAATTGGAGATCAACTGCAAAAAGAAAGCAGGAAAAACCACAAATATGTGGAGATTAAACAACATGCTAAAAAAATGACCCAGATCAAACAAGAAATAAAAGGAGAGATTAAAAAAATACATAAAAACAAATTAGAATGAAAATACAACATTTTGAAATTATGGGGATGCTGTGAAAGCAGTAATAAAAAGGAAATTTATAGCATTGTAGGCATATCTCTAGAAACAAGAAAACCACCCCCAAAACTACATAACATTACATCTTAAAGAACTAGAAAAAGAACAACAAATGAAACCCAAAGTCAGCAGAGGGAAGGAAATTCATAATAAAAATTAGAGCAGAATTAAATGAAATAGAGGACAGGGCCAGCCGAGTGGCTTAGTCGGTTAAAAGTTGGCTTGGGAGTGTGAGCTCTGAGCAGCAGGGCTGCTGGTTCAGTTCCCACATGGGCCAGTGACACTGTGCCCTTCACAGCTAAGATGGTGAACAACAGCTCGACCTGGAGCTGGGCTGCTGCGAGTGGCCGGCGATGGCGTAGGCTGCAGTGGGGTGCAGTGGGCTGCTGTAAACTACTGTGAGTGGCCGGCAGCCATCATGAGCTGCCAGCAGCTAGCATGAGCTGGCGTGAGCCGTCGTGAGCAGCCGTCCAATGGCCGGCAACCAACTGCCTCAGCCAGGAAGAGCACAATGATCATAATACCAACTTGGGCCAGTGAAGTGATGTCTTCCACAACTAGACTGAAGAACAAAAGGACGGCAACTTGTCTGTTCCCCTTTCCCAATTCCCCAACACTATTCCCCTCCCCAATTCCCCAGTAAACGCTTTTAAAAAAATGAAATAGAGGACAAAAAGACAATAGAAAAAGTTAATGCAATACAGAGCTGGTTCTTTGAAAAGATTAATAAAATTGATAAACTCATGGCAAGAGTCACTAAAAAATGAGAAAAAAGACACAAAGAAACAAAAATCAGAAATGAAAGAGGAGAAGTTACAATGACTACCACACAAATACAAAGGATCATATGAGAATACTATAAAAGACAACATGCCACCAAATTCAATAACCTAGAAGAAACAGACAAGTTAGTAGAAATATGTAACCTTCCGAGATTGAATCACAAACTGGAAAATCTAAATAGACCGATCAACAGTAAAGAAATTGAAACAATCATCCAAAAATCCCCCAAAAGCAAAAGTCTAGGACAAGATAGCTTCAGTGGTGAATTCTACCAAATATTCAAATGTGATTTAATACCTGTCCTTCTGAAACTTCCAAAAATTAAAGAAGAGGCAATACTTCCTAACTCATTTTATGAGGCCAACATTACCCTAACACCAAAACCTGGTAAAGATAACACAGAAAAAGGAAACTATAGACCAATATCTCTGATGACTATAGATGCAAAAATCCTAAACAAAATACTGACAAATTGAATACAACAATACATTAAAAAGATTATACATCACAATCAAGTGGGGTTCATTCCAGAAGTACAAGGATGGTTCAACATACGCAAATCAATCACTGTGATACACCACATAAACAAGATAAAGGGTAAAAATCATATGATCATATCAATAGATGAAGAAAAAGCATTTGACAACATACGATATCCATTTATGATTAAAACATTTAATAAAATGGTATAAAAGAAAAGTACCTCAACACAATGCAAGCCATATATGAGAAACCCTCAGCTAATACAATCGTTAACAGTGAAAAACTGAAAGCTTTCCCTCTAAGATCAGGAACAAGACAAGGATGCCCCCCATCACTACTGTTATTAAACATAGTATTGGAAGTCCTAGCCAGAGAAATCAGGCAAGATGAAGAAATAAAAGGCATCCAAATTGGGAATGAAGTCAAACTGTCGCTTTTTGCAGATGACATGATTCTTTATATAAACGCCATAAAGACTTAACAAAAAAAACTATTAGAAACAATAAACAAATATAGTAAAGATGCAGGATACAAAATCAATATACAAAAATCCCTTGCATTCCTATATACTAACAATGAAATTTCAGAAAATGAAAAAAAAAACCCACAATTCCTTTTGCAACTGCAACAAAAATGAATAAAATACCTAAAAATAAACTTAACAAGGATGTGAAGGACCTATACATTGAAAACTATAAGACATTATTTAAAGACGGTGAAGCAGACACAAAGAAATGGAAAGACATTCCATGTTCATGGATTGGAAGAATCAATATAGTTTTAAAATGGCCATATTACCCAAAGCAATATACAGATTTAATGCAATCCCCATCAAAATCCCTAATGTCATTTTTTAAAGAAATAGAACAAAAAAATCATCAGATTTGTATGGAATCACAAAAGTCCTGAAATAGCCAAAGCAACCCTAAGAAAAAAGAACAAGGCCAGAAGTATCACACTTCCTGACTTCAATTTATACTACAAAGTGACAATAATCAAAACAGCACTGCAGAAAAACAGACACACAGACCAATGGAATAGAATTGAGAACCCAGAAATAAATCCACATATATGGCCAGACAATTTTTGACAAAGGAGTCAAAAACATACAATGGAGAAAAAGAATGCCTCTTCAAAAAATGGTGACGGGAAAACTGGAAAGCCACGTGCAAAAGAATGAAACTAGCCTACCTGTCACCATATACCAAAATTAACTCAAAATGGATCAAAGATCTAAACATAAGATCTGAAACAATAAACAGCATAAAAGAAAGCATGGGTACTAAATTTATGGACCTTGGTTCAGAGAGGATTTTATGAATTTGACCCCAAAGGACCGGGAAGTGAAAGCAAAAATAAATGAATGGTACTGTATCAAACTAAAAAGGTTCTGCACAGCAAGAAACCATCAACAAAACAGAGGCAACCAACCAAATGGGAAAATATATTTGCAAACAACACCTCCAATATGGGGCTAATATCCAAAATATATAAAAAACTCATATAACTCAACAACAAAACACATATTCCAATTAAAAAATGGTCAGAGGATCTGAACAGACACTCTCCCAAGGAGTCATACAAAGGACCAACAGATGTATGAAAAGATGCTCAACTTCACTAGCTATTAGGAAGATGCAAATCAAAACCACAATGAGATACCACCTCACACCTATTAGAATGGCTATTATCAACGAGACAAATAATAAGTGTTAGAGAAGCTGTGGAGAAAAAGGAACCCTCATACACTGCTGGTGGGATGTAAATTGGTACAGTCACTATGGAAAACAGTATGGAGGTTCCTCAAAAAATTAAGAATAGAATTACAATACAATCCAACAATCCCTCTTCTGGATATCTACCCCCAAAATCGTGAAAACATTTATCCGTAAAGATATATGTACCCCTATGTTCATTGCCGCATTATTCATGGTGGCCAAGATACAGCAAAAACCGAAGTGTCTTTTGATAGATGGCTGGATAAAGAAGTCCTGGCTACTTCAGGACTTTCGTGGTACATATATACAATGGAATACTATTCTGCTATAAGGAAAGATGAAATACTGCAATTTGCAGCAACATGGATGGATCTTGAAACTATCATGCTCAGCGAATAAGTCAGAAAGAAAAAGCCAAGAACCATATAATTTCAATCATATGTGGGCTATAAAACTGAGGCAGCAAACAAACAAGACAAACAAACAAAAACTCATAGACATAGGCAACAGTTTAGTGGTTATCAGAAGGTAAAGGTAGAGGGGGTGGTAAAAGAGGGTAAAGGGGGTCAAATACATGGTGACGGAAAGAGAACTGACTCTGGATGGTGAACACACAATGTGATATATAGATGATGTATTATGGAATTGTATACTCGAAACCTATATAATTTTACTAACCAATGTCACCCCAATAAATTTAATAAAAAAAGAAAAACGAACAAACTCTAGGGGTCAAACAATTAACAACACTGAGTTTTCTTAGCAAAAAGGCCAACTCAAGACCTCATCAGGATTTCTAAGTCCTGAACAAGGCAGGTTGAGGAATACACTTCTGACAGAATGGGGGAACAACCTATTATGTTACTTGGGACACCAAATCCTGAATAAATATGTGCAAAAAAATTGATTCCCTAAAATGTAAACACCATTTATATTCACAACTTCAATACAGAAGTAGAGAAAGTCACTAAGCTAGAAGATTCCAATACATTTTGGAAAAAATAAAATGCAAACAAGCAGTCACATACTTGATTGTATTTGCGTTGTTGTGTTCTGAGAGTTTTTGTCTCCAAACTGCTATGGTTTCATCATTTATTAAACTGGTATAATGTGCTTGGTTCACAGTCCTGAAGTCAACAGCTGGAGAATAATTCTGGAGGATTAAATATAACAGTAAAAAAGAGAAATCATGTAGGATGGGTCTTTCCTCTTCTCCTTTCCTGACATATTCTCCATTTTGTGTTACACTTACTACAGAAGCTGGGGTGCAATGCCCAGGTGCCCCCCACCCTTCAGGAGGCACTGCTAAGAGTATAAGCTCTTAACAGCTCCCAGCTGGGCTGCTCTCCAGAAACTGCTTCATTCTTTTCACATCCAATGGCTGGTACAAAGGCCCAGGCCCTTTGTCTCAACTCAGGACTAGCTGAAGGGGCATCCCAACCTCAGAGCTCCCCATGGATTGGCTGAGGACTCTGTTACACTGACTAGAAGTTCAACTTCTCCTTCTGCCCAATCCTGCCTCCTTCAACCCTAAGTGGATGTTATTCCACAGCATACTCCCCTAGAAACTTTCTGAACATAAATCTCAGTCTCAGAGTCTGTCTCCCAGAGAAACCAACCCAAAACCACTTGTCCAGAATTCATTTCCCTCTGTTTTGAATCACTATGACATCAAGGTTTTTAAGGTATTAATCATTTGCCATAACTGTTCACTGAATTCCAATAAGATGTATTATAAAAAAGTTCAGTTATAATCTATATTGCAAATAAACTAAAAAACTTAATGACTCTTAATGTCTTGCTCCAAAAAAGATACATCAGTAATGGCCTTGAAAATTACAACTGCTATCCAGCACTGTACATCCTTTATTCAGTGAGATGTTAAAAACAATAGAAGCACTTTTACTTTCTAAAAATTTTTCCTTTCAACTGATTTTCCCCAAATCTTATTCTTGATCTAGAACTAAGAAAAAGTTAAAAGTACTTTATACTTGTTACTAAAAAGAGGAAAAAAGTAATAATAAAGCATTAATCCATCAATTCATCAGATGGTCATTTTTTTTCTCCTTTGTACCTACACATAAAAACACAACTTTCAAAGTAAATTTTCTTGGTTTTTCCCATAGTTCTGAGTTAAGATATCATTATGAAGCAAGAGGAGGAGGGCATGTAACAAGTAGGAGATGCCTGCCAAAGTTTTTGATCATCTGGTTCTTAACCATTATTTTACTAAAATAGCCATAGACATCTATTGAGAGAGCAAAAGTCATCTTCAATTAAATACAGAAAAATTGTTGACAAAGCAGGCACTTGAGCACATATAAACAGGATTGTCTCTCCACCTTGGTTTTAAAACCACTGTTATAGAAATTTTAATTACTTTCCTCATTAAAGGGGCAGCTGAACATAGACTCTAACACATACTTGTAATAAAATTGACATGGAACTATTTTCTCATTCTTTACTGCATGTCCAATAAATCATAGATGCCTTGGATGAAGTACAATTTCATAGTCACCTAAAGACCTAAGAAAAAGCATCGAGTTTCCATGCCTTCTAATTACATACAGGCCAAAAAAGGAAAGAAAAGAAAATGGTCTAGGACAGTATTTCTCTACTTTGGCTACACTTCGGGTCACCGGACCTTTTACAAATCCTGGAGGCCAGGTCACACTCTAGACCAATTTAAATCAGAACCTCTAGAGGCATCAGTGTTTTTTAAAGACCTGGATGATTCCAATGGGCAAACATGGCTGAGAATAACTGTTCTAGGAAAAAGGTTATGTCACCTCGCAGGCATCCTCTCTCTCTCTCTCTCTCTCTCTCTCTCTCTCTCTCTCTCTCTCTCTCTCTCTCTCTTCTCTCTCTCTCTCTCTCAACAAAGATCTAGGGTTAATAGCTTAAGTATAAAAGTATACAGGTTTCAGATTTTTTTTAAAAAAGCAGCAGCTCCCTAAGTAACATTTGACTTTTAGTTTCTTTTTTTCTGTTATCTTACATTTTTAATGCATACCACTCTTAACAAGTTTTCAAACTTCAGCCTGCCCTGTTTCACTAACGCCACATTACTTCACTTCTCATCAATGTTTTCCTTGCCAGTCCTTTGTGTGTAAATTTAAAATCCAACCACATATTTAGGTACCATATTTATAAACGGAAGGAAACTACGTTTTATGTTGAATTGCACAGGAAAATTAAAGTTGGATAATATTATTCAAGTCAGTGCCCCCAGGAAAATTAATACTTCAAACTCTACTACTTGTGGACAAAAAATTATTAACCTGAAGAGATTCAGTGCTTTTCATACTTCGCTTTATTGGCATCTTAAAGAAACAGAATCATCTCGGCTTTCCACCCGATTTCTCTGTGAGGCCCTGAGGCTGAGCCTAAAATAGGTTTAAAGCCAGAGTTCCAAACCTCCCCAGATGGTGGCACTAGAGAAACTTCTCCAGGCTGCTGACCTGGGAATTTCCTAATTGTCAGTTTTACTATCTAACCCGCAGGTTCAGGCTGCACCACAGCCTTCTCTACCAAAAGCGCAGAGCTGTACTAACTAGAAGGTAAGAACGGTGCATATTTAAAGATGGCAAAGTATCAGACGAATGGGGGAGGGTTTCCAGGTCTTCACAGTTCCTCACTTTCTTCCCAACCAATTCTGAATCCTTTATCATCGCCAACGCCCCTTCCCTGCTCCTCCAAGACAGGCTAAGGATCAATGCACCACATATGGATGGTCCTCCCTAAATGCCTGTTGAATAAAAGCAGGGTGGGTGAGGAAAAGGTGAGGAGGGAGGCACAGGCGCTGGGGAGGGCACGAAACAAATCTATGGTGCTGCTGTCAGCCTGATTTCCCTTGTGCAGGAAAGGGGTCGTGAATTAAAGCCCTGTTGCAGATGCCTGGACCACATTCTCCTCTACCTTCCAGCCATGAAAGAATGCTGGACCATCCTTCTTCCTTACTTACCCACTACAGTGATGCAGGGGACAATAGGAGGACCATTTTAGTGTAGTGCTATGAGCAGATTATAAATCAGAAAGGATATCTGTATATTGAGGTATCTCTTTTATATTTAGTATATAGTCAATCGCAAAGAAACCCGCTAAGTTCTCAAATACCTGCATTTGTTGCTACTTCATGAGGAAGGAAACAAATGGAAAGTCAAATCATGCCAAAGTAAGTATGAACTCTCTAGGTCTCCTTAATATAGATATAAATAAACAGATATAGATATAAATAAATAATTTTAAATTATACATCACAACTCTGTAATTAAAAATACCAGAAAAAATACTGGCACTTCAAGGGAGCAAAACTTCTTCAAGGCTTAGTTTGCTTATTTTAACAAGATAAAACTGGTAGGAACAAAGAATAACATTGCGCTCATGTAATTATTTATTTAATTTTCCATGTTGGTTCACCATCATTCCACCCCCGAAATAATAGTCAAAAGAAAAGTTTACCTCATATTTGGAGCAAAGTACAAAAGTTTGGTCTCCTCCAGAGAAGATCTGCTTAACAATATGATATTTAAAGCGATCTGTCAAAAAAAATTTTCAACAGTATATTTTTCAATAATTAAAAGTTTTTCCTTGATCCCCTTCTCTAATATTCCAAAACATGCTTCAGAGTGCTTTCCTATCCATTTTAATTACGTCAGAGAAATAAGAAACCTTTTCTCCTGGCTCTCTTCCCAGGACTGTTTCTACTTTAATTAAAAATGAATATATCCAATGGTATCCTCCACTCTAGCCCTACCTCTGCCCCCTCCTCAAACGCTAGCTAATCCTGACCTCGTTTCTATTTTTCATTCTAACTGTCACACCGCTGACCTGAAATGTAAAGCGGTCACTACTATAAACGGTAACATACGCCTAACAAATAATTCAACATCTGAGTGGTGACCCATAGCCCCCTCAAGAGGAAGCTTGCCATGGAAGGCCCTCCATTTCCTCGTCCCTGCTTTGTCTCCCATCACACTGTGTCCATGGGGACGCTCTCATCCCACCACACTGCTTTTATTTCTAATGTACCACACTAGTTCTTTCTCTGCACCTTGTCCATCTACTGCCCCCAGTGCACACTGTGTCTGCATGCGTGGTGCTTCCTAGAGCATAATCGCAACAGTGCTCCTGGAATTGTGCAACTCCGGCCCTCACCACTGCCCACTCCCTCACAGCCATCGACCTGGCTAACTCCAAATCACCCTTTAAGACACACCTCAAACTTCCTCTAACCGGAATACTCCTTGATGCGTTCCTCTGTGCTTCCACGTTACCGTGAAGATTCCTCAGGCCACAGCATTTACATAATAAACTGAAATTTACCTATAAAATCATTCTGGCAAACCTCTTAGCAGACATTTATGATCACATAAGTTAGGTTGTAATGAAACTTCAAAAATGTGTGGTTTCAAATTAACCTATAAAACACCTGAGTGTTTAAAATTGGTATGTTTCTTAAACACGTGCATTCCTAGCTTGAGTACAATGCTTGGAGAAAAAGAAGTTCGCAGACGACAAGAGAGGACACCAAGCCATACTCTCATTTGGGGAACACTGCCAAAACAAACATCTTGTTTACTTTATATTTTACATTCCATGCCATTTTTAGATGCTCATATATTCATTCCATAAATATTTCCTGAGTGAGAAGTTTGTGCCAAGCTCTGTGTTCTCTGCTAGGTTTACAGAGAGAAAAAGAGTCCGCATCCTCAAGTTTCTTATAATCCAGTAAGGAACCTATGATTGCTACTGTTAAAAAAAAAAAAAAATCCTGATCAAGCAACAAGTGTGTTGAAATAAAAATTAATTAGTAAATCATGCTTCTTTTTAATGACTTTCCAGCTCCATTTTCGCATCTGGGTTTATTATTTCAGGTCAGTCATATTGAGTGACTGCCTTATTCTGACTTCTAATGAAATGGAGCTGTGCGAGTTAACTATGTTTTAAGAGGAGAAAAAAAAAAAGGCATAAAAAGAAGTTGTGTCATGTTATGACCAAAACAGCAATAGCGAAGGGAAGTAGCACAGTACAAGCATTAAGACCACAGGCTTTCGAACGAGGCAGGTCTGGGTTTAAATCCTGCCCCCAGAATCTACATGATCTCGGGCAAGTTACTTAACCTCCTAGGCCTCAGCTTCCTCAGCTTCAGCATGAGGATAACAATCACTAGTTCTGAAAGTTATTTTGTGTGCTTTGCATAGCAATGGAACTTGGTTAACCATTCACTGAACATTAACTTCCATTATTAGCAACAATTTTAAATTTATGCAACATCACCAGGGTCCTTGGGGCCAAAATAACGTTTTCTGCTTTATTTATTTTCTAAGATCTCAACTATAGAGCCTCATGCATAGTTAGTACTCAAATAATTGATTGATGTTAAAAGAAAATACCTCATATGCATTCCCTCTAAAAGACCTCAAGATAAAAAACAGAAACATGTTCTCTAAACAGCTGTTTTTATCATTTAAAATATCACTAAATTCCAATGAAAATCACTCTTACCAGCTCTGGCTGAAAGCTGGCCACTGTGGGCAGCCCAGTAGCCTTTCACAGGAGACGGGCACTTAACATTACAAGTGTGTCCGGTTCCTAATTGACCTCTTGCTCCACAACCAAATGCATAGATGAGTCCAGAAGAAGGCACGAAGGCTAGTGTGTGTTGTCTGGGGAAAAAGAAATTGAATAGTTACTGAATACAGATACACACTCAGCCTCTGACTTTTAATGTTCACATGTGAGCACAGCAATTCCTAGGGGTGCCCCCAGAGAGCTTCCCCCATATTTATATGGGACTCTTTTTACAATTGCTGCCTCTCCATAATACTATCCTAGGTCACGGGGAGGATGGACAGACTTGGAAAGAGCTGGATGGCCTGCTGCATTTGGCCTTTAGGATGAGAGGGAAGAAGCAGCGTGGACTAGGCAAAATTTCCAAGAAGTTCTCTGAGGCTCTCTCACTTTCCTTTCTTCATGTCTTTCCCACAATCTGCTACTCTTTATCCTGAAAAACCCAATGTCCCCATGTTGCTCTGCTTATCGAAAACCTTTCCTTGCCACACCCTGCTCAGACCTGACTCTCTCCAAACTGTCACCATAGGTATGCATGCAGTTAAGCTGTCTTAAAAGGATGATGGTTAGGTCTAACCACATTCTCCGTCATTACAAAGACAAGCTCCACTTCTGGTCTTAAGCGATCCTTAGGAGCACTCACCTGCCACAAGCAATCTGAGTTACTTCACTGCCCATCAGCTCTAGAACTCTTCTTGGGTTAACCTCATCATTCATGGAGTCATGTCCAAGTTGCCCACAGGAGCCAGCTCCAAAGGTAAATACACCTCCACTCTAACAAGGAACAAACACCACATGACTGCACTGTATCGCAGTGTTTGAGTACTCTTCTCTAAAACCTTCTGTATACAAAATTCATATCACAATGGTCCGTACAAGAACACTGTGCTCACTTAATACTTAGCCAAGATCACTTCTTTGGAACATTCATTAACTGGAAAAATTTTTTTAAAATAACTTAAGACTATATCTTTATGGAACAAAGACAGCACTGCTCAAGGGAATGGTGCCATCTATAAATTCTGAAAATTGTTTAAAAGTATAATTATGTGTTAGGAAGTAAAGCAAAAAAAGAGAAACAGAGATAAGTGAAATGAGATAACTTTGCATGATCATTTCATATATAAGAAGTCAAATGTTCCACAAACTCCTTGGTAAGTAAGATATATTTTAAACAGCTGTACTTGAACAAATGCTAAGGCATTTTATTAAAGTGAACCTATAATAGTATTTGTTCAACACGAAAATGCATTTTTATTTTCTCGAGATGTGACTGTTTTAGAAGCAAAAGGAATAGGTTGATAGTTTTAAAACACTAATTACATTGCTGTTTTTTTACATATTTTAATGGCTTGTTTTAAAGGAGCACAATGTTGCTACATATACTATATTTTAAGGTCATTTATATTGAACTATTTTTAAACACCATCACTACTCTTTCTAGAAAACGCTATCGAAAGAAATTAAGCAATCCATGTCATAGCCAGCACCAAAGCATCACAGAACAAACCAGAATACCCTAGAGTTCCTTACTTTTGTGAGGACTGCTGTGTGTTCTTCTCCACAGCTAATATAGACAACTTTTTGCGTTCGTAAGAGTTTCACATGACAAGGAGACTCTCGATCTAGAATAAAATAAATATCAAAATGTCACTACCATTTGCCATTGAGATAAAATACACACAGCTAGCTTAGCATGAATTTTGGGTCCCCCTGAATTCCTGACTCATACATTCAGCTTCCTGCCCACACTGCCACTTGGATGTCCAAAAGACATCTCATTTTTAATTTATCTAAAACCTAACTCACACTCTTCTCACCAACTCCCTACCGCCCCCCCCCACCAACACACACACTTTTCCTCTATTCATAAGTGACAACTTTATCCTTCCAGCATTTCCTTTCTTTATTTCAATCAACACAAATAGCAATGAGCAAAACCAATTGACCCATCTTCAAAATATACACAAAATCCAAATTCACTCCCACTACCTCTAACCTGGTCTTCCGGCTTCCCCCTGGACCTGCTGTAGCCAGTGTCAAGTTAAATCACTCATCTCCTCAAAACCCTCATGTCTTCCCCTTTCACTGAGAGAAGAAGCTAAATCCTTACGCTGCCCTCCATGACTGGGCCTGCACTGCCCCTCTGACCTCCAGCTCTGCTACTCTTCCCGGCTCACTCCCTGAGCTCACAACGTGTCTTCCCGCATATGATGCTCTGCCTGTTCCCTTTGACTGGAACATTCTTTGCTCAGATGTCTACATGTCTCATTTCTTACCTGACTTTCTACAGGGCTCTGCTCCAACATCCTCTTATCAGAGATGCCCTCCCTGACCACCTTACGTAAAACAGGAAGCGTTCCTCTCCAACCCTGACATGCTATATATATTTACTGGCTTGTTGTTTGCTGCCACCCATTACATGCGATCTCCACTAAGGCATGTGTTACCTGTTTTGTTCATTGCTGCACCCTTAGTACCTAACATGGATCCAGCACCTAACAGATCCTCAAGAAGCATAATAAATGTGCTTTTGAACAAAAGGGGTGCTTATGAAGAGTTTACATACCTTCTTCATCACTGAGCCCTAGCTGCCCTGCATTATTCATCCCCCAGCCAAACACAGCTCCAGAGAGAGACAGGGCGAAGCTGTGGGCCCCTCCTGCAGCCACCTGAGCCAGGGGGATCCCCTCCAGGGACCTCACCCTCTGCGGGCTGGCTTGGGAGGAGAACTCCTTCCCCAGGCCCAGCTGCCCATGGCTGTTCTTTCCCCAGGTGAAGAACTGACCATCTGGAATAAGAACAGGACAACAGGTATTACCAGAAATGATACAAGTTCCATCACTAAAATAATCTCCTTAGAACAACAGAGGTGCCCAGTACGGTCATTTGTTAGTTGACCCACATATCTATCACATCCACCTCAGAGAAAAAGAGCAGAGACACTTCATATAAGACTCATAACCAAAACTCCCACTTGCTAGAACAACAGAGAGATAGCTGAGTCTTACTACTCTTCAAAAGCTATTAACATTGATGCAAAGAAAAAAATTAAACGTTTAAGTCAATTCAGTTTTGAATAGGCTAGTTGCCAGGCTTAGAGCCGTTAAGCGAGCTGAACTAGTTCTGACCACCCCAAGACCCTGAGACACAGGATTTCATATGATCCAGCTATGAAACTGGACTATACTAGAGCATTGAGCAGGACATGTTAGAGCAAACTGCCCTCAAATTTATTCTAACACAGAAGACTATTATTTGCTGACTTAGGTTTCTCTAACTCCTTCCTTTTCACTTATTTGGGAGCCTGACAGTGGAATGGAGCGTGATAGTGGGCTGTGTAGCTCAGGGAAAGCAATCTCCTGTATGCTCAAGAGCACGTAGGCTCAGTCCTGCCTGCAGCTCATCTTCCCCTGAGGAAACGGTGAGCTGCACACAGGCTAAGAGCTGCCACTGTCCAACCAGAATACACAGACCCCAACCAGTTAAAGGTTTCCACTTAGATAACATCTGTCAAGAATGCAAGGAGGGCCGGCCGAGTGGCGCGTTGGTTAAGAACTGGCTTGGGACGCCAGAGGGCCCCGGTTCGGATCCCACATATGAGGGCCAGTGACGCTGCCCTCCACAGCTAAGATGCTGAACAACAGCTCAACCTGGAGCTGGGCTGCCGTGAGTCGCCGCCAGCGTAGGCTGCAGCCCCTGTGGCAGGGGGTTGCCATGGGCTACCGTATGTAGCTGGCAGCCAGCATGAGCGGCCAGCAGCCAGCATGAGCGGCCAGCAGCCGCAGTGAGCGGCCGTCCAGAAGCCGGCGACTGATCTGCCTCGCCCGGGAAGAGTGCAATGATGGTGCCAACTTGGGCCAGTGAAGCAACGTCCTCCACAACTAGACTGAAGAACAAAACGACAGCAACTTGTCTGTTCCCCTTCCCCCAATTCCCCAGCACTGTTCCCATCCCCCCAATTCCCCAATAAAAATCTTTAAAAAAAAAAAAAAGAATGCAAGGAGAATTGGTTGCAACATTAACCTAACATTAGCATATATTTCAATGTTACGTTACCAGCTGCAAGAGCCAAGCAATGCCAGTTGCCACAGGAAACTTGTAATATTGTCTGCTGGTTCAGCTTTTGAATTAACCTAAAACAGAAAAGCCTTTATTCTTAAGAAGGGCATTCACAAACGATGATCAGAAATATCCCAAACGAAATAAAACAGTTGTAATAAAGTACATCATCTTTCCTAAAAGACTTCTAAAAATCAAATATACAATCTCCTACAATGTAATTCTATTAGGTCTTTCACGAACCTCCTGCATCTTAGGTGCTGGTGAAAAACAAACACACTCTTCTGTGCTTAAACTCATTACCACACCCCTTGTTAATTCCCACCTGTTGTCTCCAATTCAGGGACAAATGGAGTAAACTACAGAAGAGAAATCCCTAAGAATATGGCTGATATCCAAATTGCTTTCAAATGAGGGCAATGCCATGATCCAGCACAAAAGAATTGAAAGCAGGGTCCCAAAGAGAAACTTGCACACCCACGTCCATAGCAGCATTACTGACAACGGCCAAAAGGTAGAAGCAACCCAAGTGTCCAGCAACAGATGAATGGATAAACAAAATGTAGCATACAAGTATACAATAGGATATTAATGAGGCTTATAAAGAACAGAAATAACGGAAATTCTGACACACGCTACAACATGGGTGAAATGTGACATTATGCTGAGTGAAATGAGCCAGTCACAGAAAGGCAAATGCTGTTATGATTCCACTTATAAGAGGTCCCTAGTGTAATCAAATCCATAGAAACCAAGTAAAATTGTGATTGCAAGGAGTTGGGGGGAAGAGAAATGGGCAATGATTTTAATTTTTGCAAAATAAAAATTTCTGGAGATTGGTTACACAGCATGAGCATACTTAATACTACTGAACTGTAACACTTAAAAATGGTTAAGATGGTAAATTTTATGTTAAATGTATTTTACCACAATTAAAAAATATAAATAAGAGCAATTCCTCCGAAACCCTGATTTCCTAGGATGGTAAAGAGGAAGATCATATGATTACTTTTCAAATGCTACTCCTCTGCTTGCCCGTGTGAAAGACATACTAAGAACAGTACCTATTTCATGGGGTTATGGTAAGAATTAAACGAAGACGTAGCCATGTAAAGTGCTTGGCATTGCCCAGCAGAGTTGGGCAGCCCGGGGATACCTCCTGCTCTCTATTTTAATAATTCGCAAGTTGCCAATTTCCTCTTCATTAACTGTATGCCCTGAGGACAAAGGAGTCAGATGGACATGCCCTCGGGAGAGGGGTATTTTGGGAGATGGATAGAGGTAGGGGCCAGGGGAAGCGGGACTATTTAGAGTGGTAGATATTGCTAGGGTTAATGTTTTATTTTCTCAGATATAAAAAAGTTAAAATAGGTTCACATGCGCATGTAGTACCAAAGGGCACCCAACTATTTTTCATTGAGATAATGACAGATTCACATGCAGTTATAAGAAATAACAGAGAGGTCCCTTATACATATGCCCGGTTTCTCCCAACAGTGACATTGTGCAAAACTCTAGTATCATAACCAGAATACTGACATTAATGCAATCTACCAATCTCATTCGTATTTCCCCAGGTTTATTTGCACTCATCTCTGAGTGTGTATTAATCTTATCATCTGTGTACGTTCATGTATCCACCACCATAGTCCAGACACTGAGCGGCTCCACCACCACAAGGAGTCTTCATGTTGTACTTTGATAACCACTCCTGCCCTTCCCCATCCGTAGGTGCTGGAAACCACTAATCTATCCTCCACCTTTAAAATTTCAAGAGTGGTATATAAATGGAATCATACATTAGGTAACCTTTTGGGATTGGTATTTTTTCCACTCAGAATGATTTCCTGGACATTCATTCAAGTCGTTGCATGTATCAACAGTTGGTAGAACCCCACTATTTTTTAAAACTGAAAACTGCATCACTGCCTCGGGGACTCAATGTTTCAGAAATTTTATGCAGTAACAGCTCTTTTCCCTGGCCCATTTCCCTTCAAATTCCCCGTAATTCTCCTTTTATGGGTCACCATTGCCCTTGTCACAACCTTCACAATCAGTTACAGAAAGGAAGCAGGTCAAAAGGACAAAAATAAATAATAGGAAAATTATACCCTTGAGGTAGAGAGGAGAGGATCTATAAACCAAGCATACACTGTGTTTTACCTACTCATCTCCTCTGTCCTCCCATTAACTTCGTAAAGGTACTCAATCCATATTAGGAGAGCAAGGCTTAGGTAAGTTAAGATGCCCAAGGTCACTGCCTAATAAGTACCACAGCCAGTAATACAATCTGAGGCTATTTGACTTCAAAGCTCTGTTACTTTCCACAATACTAGGATATAAATTAATTTATTTCAATGAAGTTATAATATAAAAGTATACACAAACCAAAGTTTCAGAAGTTATCCATAATTTATCAGGACTAATGAAAATTTTAAATTGTTCCTATAACACAGATTATATCATTTGTAGAAATGAAATGTCACTAAAAATCTTTTAAGTCTTTGGCATCAACAAATGAAATACTTTTGTCATCAATGTTATATTTTCCACAATTTCATTAAAATAGAGCAACCCTTTCTTCCTACTGCCACTCTCCCTCTTCCCCAAAAATTACAATAATTTTTGGAAGAAATGAATCCAAGACATTACCTATTCTAAATCAGGAAGTGAATCAACTCACTCTTACCTCCATGTTCCTCTTTTCCTTACAACAGCTTTTGATTAAAGAGACAAAAATCTAAGAAGGGAAAAAAGGAAGAGGAAGAAGAATATATTGTCCTTTAAAGGGGACAATAATTGGGCAGGGGAGGAGAGGCCCTTTATCAAACAGACTTGTACTGAGCCATGTATGTGCTTGTGCCCCTTTGGTAATGGTGATGCTAAAGTGAACACTCCAGGTCTCCTGCCACCAAGAGCTCCCAATTTTGTACTAAAAATAGTCATTAAATAAATAATTACAAAGAATGTGATGAGTACTACAACAGGGATATGTCGTATATTTGTAGTATAAAGAACAGGAATTAATTGAAGGACATAAATTGGTGGTTTCTTTGATCTTTAAGAACCCTCAACAAACTGAACACACCCCAAAAGTCCACTTTAAAGTATAATAACCTCAATATTTTGTTTTCTTAGCAGCGAAGCATCTGTTAGATATTTAGTTAAATCATCTAAGATTCAGAATTAAGTAAACGTTTAAGAGACCCAAAACTACTGTATTAGTATTTTTATGTTAAACAACTTATGTGTATTTGGTATTTTAGCTGTTCCTAATGCTTAAGGTAATTTGACCTATTATTAGAGTAACAGTTTAGCCTTGTAATTCTAGTGCTTAATTGAGTAATTGATATAAGCCTGCAATTTTAAGTTAAAGGTTATTAAGTACAGCATGTGAAAAGATGTTTGTTTGTTGTTGTTTTCTTTAACTCAAACATTTATCGAGTTCCAAGCACTCTGCTAGCAATTAGGCTACTAGAATAAAGTACAGTTCCCAAACTGTTCACATTTTTTAACTTGAGACATTCTACAAATAATTAAAATTTTCATGACAAATACTATAACAGTATAAAGCACAGCAGGGGCACAAAGAAACAGCAATTAAATGAAGAAAGCAGAAACTAAAACAAGGAGTCTAACAAAGCAACAGCAGAAAATAATATTTAAAACCATTTACATTTGAAAGCTCAGATTCCTTTCTGTGACATTCTTACCTGGGCACTGCCACCGAATCCTCGGTAGTCATGAGTCCTAGCTGACCATCGCTCCCCGCACCCCAAGAAAACAGCTGACCGCGGTCACTGAGGGCCAGGCTGTGGGACTCGCCACAGGCCACATGGACAATGTGCTGATCTGCCAAAGCGCCAATTTGCTCTGAAAGAGACCAAACCAAAGGAGGAAAATGTACAACCCAGAAATAAGAATCACACAGAATTATCTTCTACAGAATTATCTTTCTAGGCAGTTTTGTTTTTTCAAACAGAACCACTAAATCTGTACATTTATAGAGATTATAAATGTTATGTTTCTCAAAGCTGTCACTTTGGATCCCAGCTATGCTGGGGAGCACACATGCTTATAGCAGCACACACACCTCAGATGGTCCCTCATGTGCCTGGGGCTTCCATCCAGAGAAGTCTGAAGACTTACTGTTTGGACATGTTGAAACAGAGATGCCCAAATGTAAGTGAAAATGAGGCATACTGCTAAAAGCAGTGGGACTGAGTGAAATTCTGCCTGGGAACAATGAGACCCCCCCTCCCAGAATGTTCCCTCCCCAATCCAGAAAAACACCTTTCTCCCTTTAGTTCTAGAACACAGTCTCATATATATCTAGCCAGGAGATAAGAGGATTCCTCTGAGGAAATTGGCCCCAAAGGTCCATAGATACTAACATTTGGGGGTCCCCCAATGAAATTTCCAGCTTCACTCACGTTTTAGTGCCTTGCTCTTAAGTATAAAAGGATGGCCTAGGATCATCACGTATGTGAGGAAATATTTAACATAAAAGACAAACTGAAAAAAATGAACTCTGGAAAAAAAGATCACAGAGGGAACAGAAAAAAAAAGTAAAGCTATTAGAGAAATAGAAGATAAGGAACATTCAAACATTCAGAAAACAAAATTATCCTGGAAAATGAAAAAATGGCAGCCTAAATTTAAAGGAAAAGCCTTCAAAAGCAGGATCGGAAATTGGAATTGTAGAAATTTTCTAAGAAATAGAACAAAAAAGCAAAGAGCAAAATGGGTAAAAAAGAAATGAGAAAAACTGAGGATTGCTAGTTGGGAGGGGGTGGGGATGAAGGAGAAGGGGAAGGGACCAGACAATACAAATTGGTAACTACAATATGGCCTCAGGGATAGAAAAGACAGTCTGGGGAATATAATCAATAATGTTGTAAATATTTTTTAGGGGGCCAGATGTACTCATGTCTTATTAGGGAGACCACTTCATAGTCAGTGTAGAGGCCTGACCACCACACTGTATTTCTGAAGCTGATGTTGAATAACATTGTATGTCAACTATAATTATATATACATATAGTCATGGGATGTGGAGTAGAGTGTGGGAATGGAGTCAATGGAATTGTAATAGATAAGCATGATATCGGGAGTGGGAGGGCAGTAATGGGGGGAGGGGGGTTGTTACTGTGTGAAGGGTGAAAAGGATAACTATTGCATTGTTCTGTACACCTGAAACGAACAATAAAAATAAACAAACAAACAAACAAACAAACAAATAAATAAATAAAATAAAACCATGCTCCCCCCCCAAAAAAAAGAGAAAGAAATGAGGGAATTACTCTAAGCAGTCCAACAACAACAACAAAATATGAAATCCAAAAAGAGAATGGAAAAAACACAAAATAGAAAATTTCAAGGAAGAAAAACAAGATTTCTCATAACTGAAGGACATGAGTTTCACATTGAAAGGACCTATTAAGGGCTCAGAATAATGACTAATAAAAGATCTATTTCAGAGCACTTCATCTTGAAATTTCAGAATACTGAAAGGATTCTAAAAGTTCTGGAACGGAAGAGTTTGTATACGGAGATCAGAATGGCATCAGATTTCTCAAAATGATACTGAAAACTAGAAGACAATGGAGCAATGCATTCACAATTCTGAAGGAAAATGACTTCCAACTGAGAATTCTTTACTTAGCCAACTATGAGTCATACGTGAGATGAGGAGAAAAAAGAACAATTTTCAGGCATGTAAGGCTCTCAATATATTTTACCTCCCATACTGCCTTTCTCAGAAGTTACCAGAAGATCATGCCTCTGAAACAAAAGATTCAGGAAACAGAAATTTTACATAGGAGAGGCGAAAAATATTTTCAAGACATTTATGCAGCAAACCTATGAAGCAAGGCTGGAGAGCTGTCTTCAGGGTGAAAAATGAAATACAATCTGATGAGTTTTATATTATTGTAAGTTTTACACTCTGTCAGACAATATAGAGGTTCCTATGTCAAAAAGGCGGGGTGGGGGCGGGGGGAGATTAAAACAATTAACTCCAGGAAACATGAACTGTTTTACAGGTAATAAAAACAATCACGGTACAGGAAGTCATAATAACCAAATAAATATAATTTATATAGTTAAAATGTTAATTGTCAATTGATTTAAAAACTCAACTATTTGGGAAAGGATGAGCATGTAGGGCTGAGAAAGAAGAAAGGACAGGCAGGGAATATAAGAGAATGCGAATCTTCCCCAGTGGGAAGTCTTTAGGTTACATCCAATATTGAAATAAAAATTAAAAACAGCATTATAGAGCCGGCCGAGTGGCGCGATGGTTAAGAACTGGCTTGGGACGCCAGAGGGCCCCGGTTCAGATCCCGCATGTGAGGGCCACTGACACTGCTGGGATGCTGAGCAGTAGCTCGACCTGGAGCTGGGCTGCCGTGAGTCGCTGGCGACGGCGTAGGCTGCAGCCCCTGTGGCAGTGGGTTACCATGGGCTACCGTGTGTAGCCAGCAGCCAGCATGAG